ATTCAATTATAAGTGATATTTATCTAACAATTTTAATTTAATCCTTAGATTTTTTTGATATTAAAATAATCTAATTAAGATAAAAGATGACAAATAAATTTAAATTATTCGTCATTTTCGGATAACGGATGATGCTATTATTTTTATCAGACTCATCGAATAAAAGACCAGATATCGGAAATTCTTCATTTATTATCTGAGATAATTTTTATCCTGCTGTGGAAGATCCTGCCTGCTTCCTCTGCCTGGAATAATAAGAAAATGCGATTACTGAAGTTTATTATGACTGTTCTTGAGCGATTTTTATGAATTCCGTAGATTTGAACTATAATTCGGGAAGTTTTTGGTTGTCTCCTTGTCAAGATTTTTCAAATTACATTTTTCTTTCTATATTCCTCTCCCCATAAGTATATACACAAGTACATAACCTGACATTTCATGTTTGAGAAAAGAACTTTGAAATCAATGATTGCTTGTAGCATTATTAAAATTTTAATAAGCCATATATTTTCCTATAATTTTCAATGTTTTCAATGCAAAAAAATCGTCTTTTTTTCAATTAATTGTAGAATAAATTCGATTAATACCGACTTATTGGTCTGACATTAACATCCCAGGCTCATCGTTATTACTTATTTAATAAATACCTACTAGTTTAACACATTTCTTTTAACATATTTGGTTCTTAATTACTAATCATTTTGTCACTTGCTATGGTTTATGTTTCATCATTTCATGTTTTAAATTAAATATTTTACATTATTTGATAAATATTTTATGAGAAGGTAGTTAAAAATATCTTATAATCTTTCTTCCTTTTGTATGGTGCGTGAGGACGCATCCTACAACATATAAAGGTGCCATTAGACATTTCACAAACTGTAGGATACATAATTATCTAACTTAACTAAAAGCGGATTAATAACCAATAATTATATGACGAAATATTGTTGCCTTAAGAAATATTGTTCTAGAATATTCTACTTCCACGTTTTCAATCAATTTTAAACTTCTTTGTCGATTTTTTCAATGCAGTATAAAAAAAAAAATGTTTCTGGGTTTCTTTCTTCTTATTCAGTAGGTACTTAAGTGTTTTATGCCGGAGGTATTTCTGGGCATGGGAACTTCAGTTTCACTTTTGACTTCTTAAGCATTGTTGCGTCAACACTTCTCAGGTGCTGAATGTGAGGTTTCGTGACAAAGTACACTTATCTACTATTGTTGTTTCTGAATTTTAAATATCGAAACTGATAAAATATATTTTGTCTTTCTATTTTAATAACAACAGCATGTCAACTGAAATAAAATTATATAGTTATTTTCGTATTCATTTAAATCAGGACCCATATAAATCGTTAAATCACGGACAATTGCCATTTTTAAAAATTTGAGATTGTTATTTTTAAAAATAATTTTCGTTGTTAAGTTTGAATTTAAACCTAGTTTGATCACCCCCCCCCCCCCCCCGTAATTTAACTTAATCATTTTTTATTAATTCTTATATAATTTTACATATAATATATATATATATATATATATATATATATAAAATTATTATTATTATATAATATTCCTTATGTTATATCAATATAATTTTAAAAGTCAAATTCACCTTTGAATAATCTCCATTTTTGTAATGAAAATTTACGATTGACCATTTTTGGTTCAAACATGATGTCCATTTTTAATAATAAAGCAAAATAGTTTTAATCAAATTTTTACTGCGAAAAATTGATTAACTAAAGACCAGGTCAAATGAAAGATGAATTTCCATTTCTTTGTTTTTGCATGAGAATTTCTCTATTCATAACTTGAGAAAATCTTTCCACCTCAAACCAGATAAATCAAATGAAATATTTTAAAATACAAGAAATGTTTTGTTTCTAAAATAAACAAAATAAATGGTCAAATAGAGTAGGTTCCTTTAGGTTCTGTCTTTCATAAATTAATATTATGATAAAGCAACTTTGTATTTGATATATTTTCTTGTAAAAAATGTAATTATTTCGGTAACTAACTTTGTATTTGATATATTTTCTTGTAAAAAATTTAATTATTTCGGTAACTAACTTTGTATTTGATATATTTTCTTGTAAAAAACTTAATTATTTCCGTAACTAAGATATAATGCATTTTAAAAATTCAAATTACCTACATAGTATTTTAAATAACTTAAAAGTAATAAATAAAGTTCTGCCGAGGTCTCTTTCAATCTAACAAAATCGTCATTTGGTTTGGTTAGAATTTGGTTTCCTTTAGGAAATAACAAACAACCATTTCTAAAAATTGAGTCAGATGATCGAAAATCTGTCCATCCCAAGTAATTAAATTTAATATAAATACTTGTTTTTTTTTTTTTAAATAGAAACTGATTTCACTACTTAAAGGAAGCAGAAAAATATTTTAAGAATCATTCTAACTCAATTTTATTTCATTAACATGTGTCGTCTACCTCTGATGCGAGGCCACTCAAGACTATTTTAGTATGGAACAAACACTATTTTTTTTCTCAAATGTTTGTGCAACAATATTATCTTGTCAAGATTCTTTCTGGATTACATTCTGCATTCCTTTTGTCATTTTGGTGATTCAAATTGTCTTCTCGGATAAATTGAATATTGTTAAAGAAATTTTCAGTGTCAATTAGTATTCAGAATTAGTTGCAGAATTTAAATATTTATTTAAAATTGGTAACTTTTTGCTCCACATCTTTGCTAAGAATTTAAACATGCTGTTCACAAAAATCAGTTCTAGGCTGCTAGTAAGAACTGGTTACAATGAGGTTCCATTAACAGCAATTTACTAGACCTAGAAACAACTTCTAATTTTAAAGAAGTCTTATTTTATCTTAATATTTATTCTTCAATCATTCTTTGATAATCTAATTTGAAACCATTTTTTAAATTAGTGTGTTGATTCCTTCAATTCTAATTTTATTAAGAAGAGGAGGGACAAAAACCTATTCATCTATGCAATAAAATGTAAATATTGAATTATCTTCATTCAAAATATTTTTACTTCAAAAACTCTAGTATGTACTACTTTATTATTATTTTGTTCATAATTTAAATTTAGAACTTTCTAACAATTATTTTTATTTATAACGTGTTATTTTATCTCAGAGCTTTTGTTATAATTTTTATTTATACTGTATAATTTCTTTAGCTGTAAACTCTTTGGATCTCTTTGTCACGAAATACATTTATACGTCTAGTATTAATTTCTGCACTTAACCAAAAATCGTAGAGATTGAGTCAATACTGATTTTACTAATAAATAATTATCCTGTATTTTAATTATTTAGAGAACTTATATCAATAGTACAATAACTTTCAAGTGTTATTAATGGGTGTAAATAAAATAAATTAAAAATTATTTCAAAGAAAAAAAAATGCAACTGATATAGTTACAGTTAGTACCTGTGAGTTTATGAAAATACTGGGTTATATTAAAGTTTTTAAAGAATTAATAAAATTACTTTAGCTTTTTCATAAGAATGGAATAGTTGTTTGAGTTAAATTATTGTTAATAGTTATTTAACTATTTATTTATATTTAATACAATTAAAATGTTTATTACTTTCACTTTGGATACTTACACTGCTTTTTTTTTGTTTTATAATGTAATAATTTCCTTCAGTCTAATAAAAACTAATAACTTTTTTTTTATCCTGTAAATTTATAAAATATTTTGATTTCCTAAAAGTAAATTGCGCTTTGTGTGATGTTTCATCACCAACCTAGTTCTTCTCAGCTGAAAGTGGAATAGAATGTGGGGTAGTTAAAAATCACATAGCAATATTAATGATATAAATCAGACTGTAGATATCATCCATGTACTAAATTTTTATATTTTTTATTACGCTCTCCAAATTATTGTTCTCTTTATTCCTACTTGTAAGTCGGATGGGTACTAAAAACTATTTTATCAAGCAAACTTAGTGCTATCTAAAGAGGTGTGGCTAAGTTAAAAAATATTTTAAAGAATTTACATACTCTAACAATTGCTGATATCAGTCATATTTTTAGTCCACTCCTGAAAATGTTCACCTATTACAATTATTCTTTCATTAAATTATTATGGAAATATTGTTTGTTAATTCCATTTTTTATTTGGAACATAAATCTTTTGATCTTAATAAAGTCATTCTTGACTTATAATGTAAGACACTCTCTGTCCACATGGCATCTTTTACCTTTTGATCCGATTGAAAAAAAAATGAGTCATTGATAATTTTTTTTGCTATAATGATCCCCCGATCTAAAGCTCTGGCCAAGATAATAATAGAAGGCTTTTGGCCAAGTGTTTTATTAATACACCGGTCGATCCAAATTGTAAAACACAATGGAGCTTCTTTAACTAAATAGACGTTTTGGTCAGAAAAAAACAAGATAATTTGGATTTTATAAAAATATTTTTTATTTAATTATAGTTCATTCCATTTATTGCAAAAACTCTAAAAAATTCAAATAATCATTATATCTTAATTGCACCAACCTCAACATTTTAATAACTTCCCTAAATTTAGATATTCGTAGTTGAATTGTAATTAAAACATTCCTGTTTTATAAAAAGGGTCTCATGTTATTTTTGAACTATTTAATTACAATAAGCATTACTTTTCTGAAATATTTAGGAAGCTAATGGTATTCATCGAGTATTATTTATTTAGGAATATAATAAGGTTTTTAAAATAATAACAATCTGTCAATTCTTGGTTGATAATAATGACCTCAATGTGTCAACTAAAATATTGCTAAGTACTGGAAGGCTTTGTATATACATATATATACACACTTATTATTTCTATTTAGTTTAATTATAAACAGCTTTGGTGCGTATTCATACATGCATATGTATGCCCACATGCCATTATGTTTTGTGTCATTTGAGAGAGTTAAATATTTTGGACTTTTTTATTTAGTTAAGGTCTTAAAGTAGTTGTATTATTTTATGTATTTTGTCTTTATTATTCATAGTTATATTTTTTTGTTTTTCAGGTAAAGATGACAGTAGCAATTCAGATGAAGAGAAAAGCATTAAAGAGAATGGACTCCAAAATGGAGAGAAGAGCCCTGAAATTAATGGTGAAGAGAAAGAAAAGGTTGTTAATGGTGTTGACAGAACGGTATGGCAGCCTTTGTATGTATTTTAGATATCGGCTTTATATTAGTTTAAAATATATATACCGTTAATATGAGCAGTCTAGCTGTCATGCATTTGAACAATGTGCCATTAAGTCTAAACATGGAAATGAATACTCTCTAATGTTGGAATCGATTATTGAGCAATATTTCTTTAAAATAGTATAAAATTTTCTTCAAAAATATTTACAAATTATTTCTTATTAGCTTTTGTTACATTATGTATCATTATTATTTTGACAATACGTAAAATATCTTCGAAAACAATTGAAGAAAACTTAGTTGTAATTTGTAATACCATCACTGCCATGTTCAAGTAACAAAAAATAAATTATTAAAATTAAATACTTTTATTAATTTACCAGAAGAATTTTAATAATATAAATCTTATGGACACAAATAAAGTAATCAGACATTAAAAGAATAAGAGATAGTATAATTATTATCCTGAACCATTGTTTTTGTCGTTTATTTACAATTTTGATTTAAAATATAGTAATGTCAAGTATTAACTCTTTTCAGGAGGAGGAAGATTCTGCCCTCGAAAAAGGAGAGCTAGAAGCGAATGAAAAAGGAACCGCAGAAAAGAAAGAGGAAGCAGAAGTTGTTTTTATTCAAGACATGGGATTCACTGTCAAAATTATTAGTCCTGGCACTGAATCTTTTGATATTCAGGTAAGATTCTTTTTTTTTTCTTTTCTAAAAATTATGTACACTCATACAACTTTTTCAATTTTCTAACTTGGTCTACAATTCATACCTTTGTAATTCTTCAAAACCGATTTTCCATGATAATTTATTAAAAAAAATAAGGTTCCATCATTATCAACCAAAATCTACTTTTACTCTATAATATTACTGAATAACTTATACTTATGCATATGTTCTACTTCAAAATATAATGTAATCATTACATATAAATTGCGAAAAGCCTAATTTAATATGTCTTTCCTTGTCTTTTTTAAATTTTGATGTTCTTAATAGTCCGAGTTTATGTTTATATGCGATTTTATGAACAATCTCAACATTCAGTTTTATTTTAAGTTGAGATTATAATTTTGGCAAATTAAAATAGCTTCTAAATTTAATTTGATGAATTTTGTTTTTAACTTCATTCTTTAGCTTTAAAATTGTCTCCTACAAAGTTATTTTAAATAAATGGCGGGAGATGGAGGGAACTACATTTTTAGTACTTTTTCCATTGTCTGTTTTTTATTGATTTCTTTCAAATAACTTTTCCATTTATAGAAATCCTACCTTCAAATAAATTTATATTTCGTTCATCAAAAATTGCAAAATGGAATAGTTTCCCATCTATAGAAGGGACTACTTTCTAATAATTGTTTGTGTATGTCCCGACGATTTCAACAATTGTGTCATTGTCTAGCTAGGCTTTATTGAGTGTCGGTCGCGTTTTTAAAAGTCAGCAATGGAAGTCTATTGGTTTGTAAGTTACTTATATATTTTGGGGAAGTAATACTTTTATATTTTATTAAAAGGTCTTTGTAAGTTTCATAGATTTTTTGTTAATCAATTTGATTGTTCTGGATTTTGTTTTTTTAATGACGACTTCATGATTTCAATAATGGTTGCAATAATGTTTTTTTACATTCAATTTGAAGAATTTTATTAACTATATTAAAAATAAAACATGAATTATATTAAGAATTGTTATACAAATTTATTTTGATTTTTGATTATTAAATACTTCTTTTATGATGTTAGTGGTAAAGATTATGCTAAAAAAATTGAATTAAGTTAACATTGTCTTCAGTTAATTACTTTTTGTTTTTTATATTTTTGCTTCAGTTTTGTTTTTTTACTTCATATAGGTATAATTTACTAATATAATTGAACTTAATTACAATAATTATTGTTTATTTTACTTATTGTATAGTTTAGGGGTAAGTATTGATGTTCAATATTTGAAGTTATATAAAATTAATTATTATGGTTATTGGATATTATAGTTAATCTACCTTCAAATAATTACAGTTTGACTAAACTTTTGGCTGTTTTAAACATTACTAGGATATTTTTTATTGTCTATTTCTTATTACCTATGAAAGGGAGAGAGAAACATTGAAACCATTTTCAGCGTCTAATTTATGATTGATTCTTGAGATTTTTATATTTTATGGTGATAATGACCTTAAAAAAAATTTAATATTACTTCATTCCTCTCCTCATCTTAGCTATAGGTATATTTTTTAATTGAATGGTTTTAATTTATTTCTTTTCATTTATTTGAAGGTGTCCAGCATGGAGTTAGTGCAAGAAATCCATCAGCTTTTAATGGATCGTGAAGAAACGTGCCATAGAACTTGTTTTTCACTCCAGCTTAATGGAAATACTCTCGACAATTTTGCTGAACTGAAAAATATTGATGGGTTAAAAGAAGGCTCTATTATAAAGGTAAAAAAAAGTCTTTTTAAATAGAATTATTTTATTTCTCAGTGTGATTTGTATGTTTCAGTCGTTGTAATTTAAGAAATTAAATTATCATAACATTATTTATTATTTACTTGTTACCAAAAAACTTGTTTTCAAACAGGTAGTTGAGGAAGCTTATACAATGCGTGAAGCACGTATTCATGTTCGCCATGTGAGAGATCTTTTGAAGTCTTTGGATCCTGCCGATTGTTACAATGGAGTCGATTGCAACTCATTGTCGTTCTTAAATGTTATAACTCAAGGCGATATTCTTGGTGAGTACAAATCAAATCCTAAAATGAATCTCTATTGCAGTTTCATTTGTGTTAAAGTTGTATTATACATATTTATTTGTAATTGATAAATACAAGATTAACTAATTAACTACAGACTTTTTTTTGGAAAAATAAGAGAAACAATCTCTCTCTCTCTCAAAAAAAAAATATATTCATGTGATAAAAGGTATCCTCAATTTAATGGTTTTATATTTATAAATAATTTTTTTCTTGTTTTACTACTGTAAAGGAAATGATTGCTCCATCTTAGAAGTTTTAATATATTTTCTGTCTATGTGGATTTCTGGAATAGTCTATCAATCAATTCTTGGATAAATTATATTGATAGTATTTTGTATTAAACTGTTTATTATTTGTTTCATCGAACAAAATTTTTAAATAAAGTATTCATTTGTTCAGAAAAAAAGAAAAATAGGGCCGAAAGTGTGGACTGTACTCCTCCAGATTACATTATGCCAAATAGCAAAGAGCGACCACCTCTCCTTCCATTACAGCCAATGGCAAAGGAGCAGAAAGGTCCACAATGTATAAAGGTAAGATTGATACTTAGCTTATTTATTTGTTATATTTTTAAGTTAATCGAAATCATTGTTTAAACAAACAATAACAGAATGAGTTGTTTCATTGTGTATAATTTAACAATAAATAAACATTACTTTGTTTGAACTTGGAATGGAACATTTCTATTATATACTTGTCATTTATTAACCTAAAGATCTGTTAAAAGGAAATAATCTTTTAATGTTTCATTACTTTTTCTCTAGGCTCACAATCAAGAATGATTTTAAGCCCACTCTCTATGTTCAATATTGTTCTTAAATTATATTTATATAACATATATTAGAGTTAAAGAAGATTTTTACTATTAAAGGCCATTCTTGATTAATATTGCACTGCTTTTATTTTTATTTGTTTCCATTAATTTTCCAATTATATAATTAAATATCAATTAATAGTAGAGCTGACTTTTAATAAGGCTATATAAGCAACTAAGATGCCCAGACATTTTCTATTTTTGATCTTATCTATGGATTACTCATTTTCTGTTGTGATAGGTGCTGACTACATCCGGTTGGAACCCTCCACCTGGCTACAGGAAGATGCACGGTGACCTCATGTACTTATATGTAGTAACTATGGAAGATAAGCACCACCATATCACTGCCTGTACTAGGGGCTTCTTCCTTAATCAGTACGTTTTTAAATTTGAAATTATTGTTATCACAATTTATATTTTGAATACATCTATTGCGTGGGAATTATACTCTTCTTGTTTTATATAGGTCGTCAGAAGAAGAGTTCAATCCAAAGCCAGCTGTGCCCAGCCACTTGTGCCACTCATTGATAGAGCTCTTAAACCAGCTTAGCCCATCTTTCAAAAGAAACTTCAGTATCTTGCAAAAGAAAAGGACTCACAGGCATCCTTTTGAGAGAGTCGCAACGCCTTATCAGGTTTATGCCTGGTCATCACCTCAGATAGAACACACCGTCGATGCTATTAGAGCAGAAGATAGTAAGGAAATTTAATATTTTATCATTATCAATTTTAAGTTTCTATTTGCCCTGATAATCCTTGAGAGGATCTTAATCTTAACATATTATCAATCTTAATCTTAACATATTCGTCCAGTAATTTTTTGCACCGCCATTCACAAAATGCGGGCAATGGTTATTAGTGCAAAGGTTACATTATTCACCAATATCATTAAATAATTTTATAAGAAAAAAATTAGGCATTTTTTTTTTCCATCTTTGGGAATTTGGCTTAAATAATGATAGCAAGAAACATTATACTAAATAATAATAAAATTATGTTATTAACTTGCGTTTAACAAATTAACTTCAAAACAAAATTAATTTTTTTTTTCTATTGAGGGCATGTGTTCGATGTAATTAGAAAGTCAATCAAAACGTAAAGCATCTTTGATTAACATTTTTCAATAAAGTTATTCTTAATGAATAATGCTAATAATTGTGTTATTATGAATATTTAATTATGATAGTTTCGATGAAAATTTTTAATAAATTAATTTTTCATTCTCATTAGCATTTTCTTCTAAACTTGGATATGAGGAACATATTCCTGGTCAGACAAGAGACTGGAATGAAGAGCTCCAAACCACACGGGAACTCCCTAGGAAAAATCTTCCAGAAAGGCTGCTCAGGGAGAGGGCCATTTTTAAGGTTAGTCAAGCCCTTTGTATGTGTATGAAAAAAATGTATCCATATTTTAAAAATAATCATTTTTAAAATTTTGTAAATTTATTAGGTGCATAGTGACTTTGTTGCCGGTGCGACAAGAGGTGCTGTAGCTGTAATAGATGGAAATGTTATGGCCATTAATCCTGGAGAGGATTCAAAGATGCAGATGTTCATTTGGAACAATATATTTTTCTCTCTAGGCTTTGATGTGAGAGATCATTATAAAGAACTCGGAGGTGATGCTGCTGCATTTGTTGCTCCTGTAAGAAACATCTCTTTGTGTTTAGTTATCAATTAATGTTGTTAGGAATTCGTTGATAACAGATTTTATAACATTTCATGCAGAAAAAAAAAATTGTTTTTTAATAAACTTAGTCTGTATAAATAAAATTCAATTAATGAATTAAATAAATCTTCCATAGAATGGAATAGAAACAGGCTAATTAACATCAAATTTGAACTCTTTATTGAGAAAAATCAATTGCAGTTTTCAAACTTTCCAGGAAGAAAAGAAAATATATTAAAAATTGTTTAAACCTATTAATTAACATGTTAGTTGTGTCTACGGTTCTCAGCGTCAGATAGCATATCAGATATAATGATTACGTTTATATTTATCTTAACATCTATCCAACCTCTATTCAAATAATTTTAAAAATGACCATTTTAGAGAATTTGTAAGATAGGAATAATTCAAAACAATCCCAACCGAAATCGAGATGAGTATTGGAACCCTGGAGACTGCAGCTAACGTGTTAAACAAATAATAATAGCTGAGTTTATTAATAATTTTTCCCTTCCAGAGAAACGATCTTCAGGGTGTCAGAGTATACAGTGCTGTGGATCTTCCCGGACTTTATACATTAGGAACTGTTGTGGTTGATTATAGAGGTTATAGGGTCACTGCTCAGTCGATTATACCTGGCATCTTGGAGAGGGAGCAGGAACAGTCTGTGGTTTACGGCTCCATCGATTTTGGGAAAACAGTCATCTCGCACCCAAAGTACATGGATCTTGTAAGTATACAATTATATTAATAACCTTTTATTTCCTTGAGAATTGGGGTAGATCAGTGAGTAAAGTACTGAGCTATTGGAGTCGGAAGGCCCTCCTGGGGCATAGCCAGTGGTTACTCTTAATTAAATAATTAATTATAAAAATAATTAACCTGGTGGTTAGGCATAATCTCGATTAAATCACCATTGCCGTTGACTAAGGAGCAGTAATTCCTTGCGAAGTTCTGTACCCAAGACCCTTCATGGTTTTATTTTATTTATTGAGAACAGGTGAATAAAATCTTACTTATTTTCCATTTTTTTTATTTTCAACATTTCAAGGTCGTGCCTCATCATCAGGATCTTTAATAACCATTATTAAATATTATCCATAGTTCTTTTTGAGACTTTCCTCATCTGTTTATACAATTTTTTCATTAAATTTAAAATTCATTTTTAGTCTAAATATTAGGCAAGGAGTATACCAAGACATTTTTATACATTCCTCTATCACAAATGGACTCTGAAGAAGATTTTAGTCACTTACCCTCAATAAAATATATTAATTATTTTTTTGTCACATCTTTTATCGTGTAGTTAAGGTTATTAATGATGTAATATGCATTTATTTTACCTTATTGTTCTATTTTCCATTAACTCCCTAGCCTTTTCTGTCAAAGCAAATTTTTAATCAATTAATTAAAAAGAATGAAGTTATCTTAGAAATTTCGAGCAGTCGTGTTTCTGGATTGTTATTTTTGACGAAAAATATGCTTTGGTAGGTAGATCATCCTGAATTATCTATGAATACAATATTGTTCTTAGGGAACTTTTTTCCATATACTCATTTTTCCTCTTTAAACTTTGTTTTGGTTTATAATAATGTGTCTTGTTTGGTTTTGTGTATTATCATATAATTTTTTTATTGATTTTAGTTAAATAAAGCTGCTCAACAGTTGAAAATGCTTCCGCACAAGGTATTCAATGATCAAAATGAGGAAATAGAATTGTGCAGTAGCGTAGAATGCAAAGGTATCATCGGTAATGATGGAAGGCATTATATTCTCGATCTCCTAAGGACGTTTCCTCCTGATGTTAACTTCCTAAAACGTAAGGCTCACACCAATCATCTCAGTTTAATTATATTAATCATTATATTTTGATAGTCCATGGTTTGCTGTCATAGTTGAAGGAGAGGAGCTGAGCAAAGAATTGCAGTCATTAGGTTTCCCGATTGAACACAAGCATAAGCTCTGCTGCCTTAGACAAGAGCTTATAGATGCATTCGTTGAGTTAGTATTAATCATCTTTTGTCTTTTTTATTGTGTGAATAAATTTTTTTATTATATTATTGGTATCTTGTTGTTTCAGGTCTCGTTATATGATGTTCATTAAATATGCTGCCTTCCATTTGCAACAATTAGGTGCTAAGAAACAGAAAGAAAGGGAAGCTCAACTTGCCAATAATGAAATAGAAGCTAAGGTAAGATTTCTTATTTTTCATCAGGTATAAAAAACTGTTTCATTCATGCTACTTTATTTATTATCTAACTTATATTGCTTTATTTGGATTATGGATGGTTACTGCTCATTTGATTTTGTTTTGATCAATTTATAAAGAGCATAATCGTATTGTTATTTACTAAATTGCTATTTTATATATTGCTGTTAGGAAAAAACCCTAGAGATCAAGACTGAAGTATCGAATGAAAGTAAAAAAGAAGAAAATAAAAAAGAAGTGGAAAAAATGACAGAAGAAACTTCTATGGAACACGCTGAAGCCAAAAAAATCGTTGAAAGTATTACAGACTCCATTACAAGTGGAGATAAACAAGAATGTAAGGATTTTAAATTGTTTTAAACTTATTGTAACATTAAAATTATGAGATAAATCTTTGATTCAATATCTGATGATTTTGTTTCAATATTTTTTTAGTTGAAGAAAGCACTAAAGAGATTGTAAAACGTGCTGCAACGGCAGTCGGTTCTCTTAAGGAAACCGAATTTGATATTAGGTTCAACCCAGACGTCTATTCTCCTGGTGTGAAGCATGTCGATAACATTTCTGCTCCAGATTCTCTCAAAAGGCAGCGCCAACTAGTCAAAGATGCTGCAGATTTCCTAGTCACTACTCAAATACCTAACTTTGTACGGATGCATTTTAAAGTTTTATTTTGTGAAGTTTTTTACTCCATATTATTACTTATTTTTGTTTTTTATATGTTAGATAAGAGAACTGCTGGACCACTCTTCTGCTCCTATGGATGGTATCACCCTCTCCGAGAGCCTCCACAGCCGAGGTATCAACATAAGGTACCTCGGGAAGATAACTGCCATGCTTTCCAAAATGAAGCAACTAGAGTATCTCCATACCATTGCTGTTTCAGAACTAATAACACGAGCTGCTAAGCACATATTCAATGTTTATATGCAGGTAATTTATCATTTTTATTAGAAAAATTTATTATTTATTAATTATTTTCGATTCAGCGAATTTCATAAATAATTAATATTTTAAAGTTATATAAAAATTAATTTATTTATCAGTGTATTTATTTACTTTTCACTGTATTTAGTGTGTTAGCATAAAATATATATTTAATGCTTCTTCTATATAATTTGTTTTCAAGCTAGAACTGAATTTCACTATTTATTACTTAATTATTTTTAAAGATTTCATTGTTTCCAGCAGTTTTCTCTTCTATACAAATACTTTCCTATTTGTTGTCTACAGGATATTAGTCCATGGGACTGACTTCTATTTATCAAATTATTATCATCCATCTACTTTATGAATGGTTTCATCTTATAGTAACTTATCTATCATCTTACAGTAACTTTTCTATCAACGAAAATTCTCAGAAATGGGATATTTTCCGTTAAATATACAAATTTTACCGATCTTCAGATTGAAAATATCCTATTTCCAAGAAGTTTCATACACAAAAAAGTAGGCTACTATAAGATGAAACAATTAACGAAGTTTTAGATGGATTTTAATAATTTGATCAAAAGGAATCTGTATCTCAAACTATATTCTATTACTTGAAAAAAAAGAAAAAGAAAGAAAGACAAAACAGAAGTAAATAAGCCTGGAATTTTTTTTTTAGTGGTTGCATATTTTTTTTTCTATTTCATCCTTTACAATTTTACAGTTAATCTTATTTTCTAAGTCATGATGATTTTCATTATTCTATAAAGGTTTGAGAAAATATTTAAAATTTTATTGTAATTTATTTAATGTTAAAAAAAAAAATAAAAATAGTAATATAGTTTCAGAGTTGAAAACTCAGGTTCAACCGAAACTCTATACTGCTACTGAAGACCTGCGAAGTCAGGCTTTAAGTAAAATATTTTTTTACTAGTTTAATCATTTTATGGCCGCCATACTGGACCATCTTCTTATTCAACACTAATAATGCATCTTAAAAGTATTTATCTGAACTTTTTATTTTTATTTAATTTGAAAATTAATTAATCGCTATTTGTTAGATTAGATGCTTGAATATTCTGAGTGCTAATAAAACTTTTACACATTTTTCAGAGTACTGAAATGATGAGCTTGTCAGCTGCTGTCAGCCATTTCTTAAACTGTTTTCTTTCTTCTTGTCAAACTCAACACCATCCCCAAAACATCACTGATGAGGTACAGTACCACAGTTCGAATTAACAAGTCAATATCATAGGAATAATTTTCACAATTTTTTCTAAGTAAACTATAAAATATTTATTTTATCTAATATGTATATCTATTATAAAACTATGTCCATTGATTCAGATGCAGAGCAAGACATCGAAAAGAAGGAAGCAAGCGGGAAAGAGAAAGGGGCGGCTGAATCTTTTGTTGGCTGATAGCAACGAGTGGGCAACCCTTACGCCTAAGGGTCTTTGGTCACAGCTAAAGAGCGAGCTTAAGGCCTACTACGATTGGGAACTGAAGGCTGACTCCATAGATGCAGCTGTAGAAGCGTACGGCTTGCAAAAGATTTCACTGCTGAGGTAATTTTGTGTAATTTGTTTATATTGTTTTTTCGGAAGCAGTTTAACTGTAATTTATTTTACTCTTTGAAATGAAAACTACAAACAAAAAAACTTTTTACAACATAAACGTTATATGTTGTTTGAAGCACTATATGCCGTAAATAAAACCTCCTCTTTTTAAAAATTAAATCTAAACAGAAACTTCCTCTATTTCAGGTCATTCTGTCTTAAAACAGGAATTCAGATTCTCATAAGGGAATACTCTTTCGATACCAAAAACAAGCTTACATTCTATGAAGAAGACATTTTGAACATTTTCCCGGTTGTTAAACATATTAATCCCCGGGTAAGTATAATTTTTTTGTAAAAAAAAAAAAAAAAAAAAAAAAAAAAAGAGAATACTAATGACTTTAACTGGGAGTGTTTAATTATATTTTGTATTCAGGCAAGCGATGCCTACAACTTCTACACTACTGGTCAAAACAAAATTCAACAAGGTTTCCTAAAGGAAGGATACGAGCTCATCAATGAAGCTTTGAATCTCCTTAATAATGTATATGGTGCAATGCATCCAGAAATCGCGCAGTGCCTGAGGATGCTCGCTCGCCTCAACTACATTATGGGAGATCATGCCGAAGCGATGGGTATTCAACAGAAAGCTGTCCTCATGTCGGAGAGGGTCAATGGAATCGATCACCCTTATACAATTACTGAATATGTAAGTTATTATTGTTTAGATGCGAATAACCAATAAATTTTAGTTATGTAATAGTTTATTACAAATTGTTATGAATAAATTACGTGTTATATGAAACTTTAATGATGTAATATAATTTTTGTTCATCCAATGGCTATTTATTCACATTAAATTGTTGTTATTATAAATTATTATTCACATTTCTTTTATAAAAATCTTGCAAATAGTTTAAGTATTTTATTTTTCATTATGACTCGAATCAGAGTTTCGATTCAAGATTTTAGATCAAGAATAAAATCTGAATCATTTGTATTTTCATATAACACAATTAATGTGTTTAATACAATTTAAACTTAAATAAATAACAATGTCCAATTTTACTATAGCCGAATATTTAAAAATAATTATTACTTATTTTCAGACGCATCTTGCTCTTTACTGCTTTGCAAATGGCCAAGTTTCTACTGCTCTTAAGTTGCTGTATCGGGCTAGGTATTTGGCCCTCTTGGTCTGTGGCGAGAATCATCCAGAAATGGCTCTCCTTGATGTTAGTATAAATATTCATATTTCAAATACAGTTACTCACAGTTATAATGTCTATATTTTTCTTCATATTTTAAACTTAATGTATCGTATAATTAAACAACTGAATAATTTGAATAGTCACAAAAACTCGGTAACTAGAAGAAAAATTGATAAAATACTCGTATAACTCAAAAAATCACAAGTGCAATCAGAAAGAGTGATAAGGAGGCCAGAAAGCCTCAGTAACGTTTAATTCCTCCAAAGCCTCACGTTCGAGTTATTTTTAAGAAAGTAGTAAAAATCTTTTAAATCAGTGATTTAAAGGGGCACTTCCAGTAAGTCGATTTTATTAAAACATTTACTACAACAATCAGACAAGTCAGACATAATGTATTTAAGGTTACTGCTGCTATTTGTTACTCAACTGTTGTTATTTTTGCTGAAGTTCTTTTAATTGTTTCCTTTACTTAAATCAAAACTAATTCTGTTTCATGAGCTGTTCAAATGTGAAAGAATGATGATGATTAGCAGAAATTCATAACTTTTATTGGTTTTTCATTTGCAGAGCAATATCAGTTTGATCCTCCATGCAGTCGCAGAATATGAACTTTCCCTTAGGTTCTTAGAAAAAGCTCTTGAACTGAACATGAGGTATTACGGTCCTAAATCCCTGAAAGTGGCAGTCAGTTACCATTTAGTAGCCAGGACGCAGAGCTGTATGGGTGACTTTAGGTCTGCCTTGAATTCGGAGAAGGAAACATACGCTATATATAAACATCAGGTATGATATCTACCTCTACCAGACACTTTTAATATAAGATAATTTTTTTTATTATCTTTACTGTAATGCCTCCATTATTTAACAAATTATAGTGAAAAAAGAAAAATAATAACAATATGTGGTTTATTGTTTAAAATGAATATTTTTGCAGTTTACTATGGAATTTTATTTTATTTTTGTTATGTAATGAATGACAAATACTAATTTTTATGATGTCAGTTGGGAGAGGACCATGAAAAAACAAAGGAGTCTTCCGAATGCCTCAGGCATTTAACACATCAAGCAGTCGTCCTCCAGAAGAAGATGAACGAGATATACACAGGCAAACCAGGTGCAGGTCTTCCTCCGATTCAAATACAACCCCCTTCAATGGGATCGGTTCTTGATATGCTCAATGTCATTAATGGAATCCTTTTCGTGCAAATAAGGTCAGTTGATTTGTAATTTTTGGTTTGTGTGTTTATTTAAAACTTGCTGTATAATATGACTTCAAGCTTGAAATGAAAAAAAAAAAACTGCTAAAATACTTAGGTTTATGTTATAAAAAACATATTTGTATTTTTTTGAATAGTTATCAGGCTTTAGTATTTACAGTAGAATTTGGGATGCAGTAGAATTTTATGTTTATGTAACTTACTAAACAAAATTTCTAACTAATATCCCAAAAAAATATACTAGAGATAGGCTGTTAGTCAGCAGTATGTTATTTTTTAATTTTCATTGATAATATTTTGCTATATTTAAAATTTCAGATCACTAAACTTTTATTATCTTCCACTTTTTTTTTTCTATAATATTTCATCTATAGTTTGACTCAATAAGATAATAACACTTAGCTAGTCAATTATTCTTTATTTATTTTGATTAATTTATTATGATTAAATTAAACAATGATCCAATACAATTATCCCATTCAGTTTGTTGATTATTCTTTATTAATATATGTTTCGGGTAATCTGTGCCCTCCCTTCAGCATATAACATGCTCCAGAATTGGGTGAGTTTTAGTTATCAGAAGTTTGGCCAACGATTAAAACTTAACTAAGTTAAACATTGACCAAACTCATTACCAACCAAAACTTACCCAATTCTGAAGCAATTTATACAGGTTTGTGAAGATCGGGACAGAGATTCCACCGAAACGTACATTAATAAAGAATAATCAATAAAGTAAGTTTTATTTTATTGAATCATTTTAAGATTATTTTATTGAATCATTGTTTAATTTAATCAAATAATTAAATAAACGGTAATAGAAAGTAATTGTGTTGCCTGTAAGAATGAGGAATGTATTTTTGTGTTTATTTTTAACTTTTAACATTTTAATTTGCTATCTGCTTGCTTTTATAACACTTGACTAGTGCTTGTTTTTTGCTTTTGAATTGTTTTGCAGGTTAATTCCTGCCAGTGTTGTTGTTTAGAGGTGCCATCGTGTGCGCATGACAATAGGTAGATTTATATTTGCTTTGTTAAATTCAATTTTATTTTATTTTCAAATGGCTTGATACCTATTTAAAATTTTAAGTGGATTTGTTATAGCAGAAAACTGTAAAAAAAAAAAAAATTGTTTGGAGTGTTAACACATGGAGAATGGGAGTATTAAATTTTATAGTCAAGATGGTAAATATAAAAACGCAAAATAGTAAAAAAAAAAAACTGTTTAATTTTAATATTTAATAATCGTAGGTCGACTGGTTAGTATATAATCTAATTTTATTGGGTTCAGATATATAAAAAGACTTGCTATTTTATCTTCATTTTAAGTTATATAAAACCATATACTAAAATGGTTCCTTGCTTTAAATAATTAATTTTAGAACTTAAGTATTATAAAAAGAAGATGGCCCCGTGATCTCCTAATGTAGACATATTATTAGAATACTACCAGTGAGTAGTTTCTCAACAAGTGTTTCATGCCATTATATTCATTTATACAAATTTACTAGATGTATTTATTTTTTTATTTTTATACAGTTGTAAATATCATAACAAATGAAAAAGGAAACATAATTAATTATTATAACATGGCAATACTAATGGAGACTGGTAATTTCCAACATTGTAATGGGCTATACGAAATTTGTAGCAATCATTACTAGTCTTTGTTTTTGATATTTTTTGAGTGATATATTTTTCAAATTTTTGTTCAGTATTGTATAAATAATTACAAATCATTATAATATAGCCATTTTTGATTTCTTTTTTTCTCTCTTTTTGAAAATTAACTCCTTTAATTGTTTTTTACACCTTCAAATTATCGAGTCTTCCAAGTGAGGTGTCAATAATTCTGTTACAGTTTTCTGTTCTAGCATTTATTTTTGTTTTAATTATCTGTATTTGTCTGAGACATTTTTAATATTTCCAAAGCAAATGTATCTTTTTTAAAATTGAATGTGTCACCTTCGAAGTCACATGTAATCTTTCCAAAGCATGAGCAACTTCCCAGTTGTATTTTTTGACGAAAGAAAAACTTTTCAACATTAAATTTTGAGAATATTTATATAGAGGTTTCTGATTATTTGCATGCTTTGATGTATCGAACCTTGATATTTATGTTGGTTATTTTATAATAAAGCTTGAAGATTTTGATTTGTAAATAATTTTGGGAGAGGTTGAGTCAGTCTTCTAGTAGTACTAAATTAAAAATATGTGAATAAAATATTAACCAAAGCAATTTTTTAAATAATCATTTCTGCCCTGAAAGACCACACTGACCGAAACATATGTTTTAAAATAATTTAGACTGAGCTACATTTGAGCCAATTGGAATGAAAGCTATTAGACAATTCTTGTGAAATTATAATAAATCCAGATTTTCAGATAATAACATTGTTAATGTGTTGTGAAAAATGTCAGTGGTGTCATCATATTATTGGTTTTTTAAAATTAAATATCTTTCTGAAAAAAGTTTTGATATAAGAAACAAAATGATTTCTATTCAACGATTGTTGAAACATATGTTTAAAAATTCGCATTTTATACACCTATTATATTATACCGCATGTGTTAACGGATACTGGAGAAGAAGAACTAATCTGGAGCTGAGAAGTCTATATAGTGACTTAGATGTGGTCAATGTTAAATTCCTGTAAAGGATGGACCCAGAGGAAATTCCATCTAAAGTCCTATCGGAGAAGCTATTTGGGGCACAGAAAGTTGGATGCCGTAGCCTCCGATGGGAAGACTGTGTTGCTGCCGATACTTGGCATTCACAGCTAGAAGGCAGCAGCACAAAACAAAGATGACTGGTGGGTCGTCGAGCCATATAATAATAAATTATATTATACCACACAGAAAACGCTCTGATCTCAAGTTCTAAACTGTGCTGCCCAAAGCATGTCCCATATCACTTGCAAATGATTATAGTTGATTTGGAAAAGTTATGAGTAGAATTATGTTCATTTAGCTATTATGTATATAAAGTTATATAATATATCTTAGACAGCATAGTATCCTAGTTTTATTAATCGATTTGTGTTTAATTTCAGCCGTCAGGACATTGAAAACTTCAAGGCGAAAATGGAAAAAGGAGAAGAGATAGAAACTGAAATTCCAAAGCCTGTTGAATCTAGTTGAACCTAATTCATTATTTTCCCCTGAGTATTTTGCTGACTACATATTTTTTGAAATCAAAGAGAAAGAAAAAAATTCTTATTTTTACCTCAGTATACCTAAAAGCTTTAAGAGTTTAGGTAGATTATCATTTTTAAAGAGAGAGATATATTTGAAAACTGACACTTATTTTTTTACATTGGATTCATATTGTTGATGTTTGCAAGTTTTTAATTGTATAAAATTTCCTTCTTGCAAACTTATTAGAACTGTCGAAAGAATTGTGCCTTTTCTTTCATTTTTTGATCGAAAGTGCTAGTACAAATGGACCGATGTATTCTCATCACTGTCATTCAAATCTAATATCTCCGACAATGTTTACAGCTGAAAGTTCAACATCGATCGGCCGAACGAAGGGGGAATGAATAGTCTAACAGGCTTTATAGTAGTCATTTAGTGATCAAAGTTTTTTCTATGGTTTATAGATAGTGATATTCTTTAGTACGTTGTATATAGTTACTATATAGTGTGTTCATGGATTTGTATATAGTTTTGTCACAAATATGAAGCCAAAAGAGCTTTAAAGCCAACTCTAAATATGTGACCAAAAATATTTAAAAAAATAAAATAAATATATATATAAAAAAATTGTCCTTAGACAAGTAAACAGTTGTTAATTAAATAAAAAAGTTGTAAAATTTGACAGCATAGTAAATGCTTAAACTTAATTTATTCAGTGAACTAATAAGTCATATCAGGTATGTTTAGTTTCATTTAAATTGAAAAAAAACAAAACAAATATATATATATTATAGATGAACTGGATATATTATTAAGGCCTATCAAATTTACTTTTTGTTTTTGTTAGAACCCTAGAGTAGATTATAATGCCATGTTGTTTTTGTTACTCCTGATAGTAGGAGTGATTAGTTAGTTGAATTAGTAATTGTTACTGTTTCTGTTTTTTATTTTGATTTAGCAAAATATTTTGTTTATACATGAAACTTGTTATTTTTGTTGGTTCCTTTTTTAACTCTCAACTATGAAGTCATTTGTTAACACCTCAAATTTTTTATATATTGAAAAAAAAGTTTATAATTTTCTCAGAATTTATTTTTTCTATTGATCGGATGAAGAAATCAATTGTTAAATGAGACATGTATTACAAATGACTGAATTTCGTTCATTGTAAGTTACCTTACTTATAATTGTTATAAAAAAAAAATTGAAATCGATTTCGAAAAATCAAATTATCATAATTTAATGTATTTAGCAATAAATCATCAATTTAACTTTTATCTTACTTTGTACACAGTAAGAAACAAGACTGCTCTAATAATTACTTGTGATCTTAATGATTCAGTTTATTGCAAAAGGTTGTATATATGTTGAAATTGTTATGCTTCTGAGTGGCCCAAGCTTGCGGTGAGTCATTCGTTTTTTTGTGCTCATTTCGCAGTGGATAACAACCACTTTGTTAGGTTCGATACACTTCATATGTTGACAATTGTATAAAATAAAATTGATAGAAAAAATATTTGTATTATTTTTGCCCCCATCATGTATTTGGATTTTTGTGTCCTTTTTAAAACAGTATACCTATGTATCAGCAGCTTGGAAGAAGAGCACTACTAAAAAAATTTAAATAGTTCCATTTTTTTCATAGTCAAAGTGATTTAGTTGATTATGATTACACAAAAGTGGAACATTTGTTAATTTTTTAGTTGTACCAGGCTTCTTCTAAAGTAGTGCTTAAAAAAAGTGCAGTACTAGACATTTTTAAGCCTTTGAGATTTTCATGGTCATTCTTGAAGTGAATAATCAGCACTATAAGAGAAATAGTTTATGCTTACAAATGCTTGGTTAAATAAGTAAATTAATTTGCTAGATACCAAATTGAGATTTTATTGACCTCCTTTATTATGAATGTCACTCCCAAAACTGATATTATATAAAATATAGCATAAATATAATGGGTTGAAACATTGGGAAGGTAATATGAAAGGAAAGTTCAAACAGGGAGAAGGGGGAGCTCTTTGGTTGGAACCCTTCCTCTCCATCCCCAAAATGATAGAATATAACCATGTCTTATGAACGAAATATAAAAAAATTACCTCTAAAAGTATTATTGTTTGTGTAATTTCTTTTAATAGGACTTCAAGGACTACTTAAACACTATTTCATATAGGTAGTTAGTTTTTTAAAAGTAATAATCATATATATATAATATAATAAAATATGATATACATATATAAAGCTTTCGGTCTGAAGACCCCCAAAATTAAATCCTGGATCCATTAGTGAAGGAAATAAAATATTTACAAATATAGATAACCTATTTCTGAGAAATTAAAACACAGTCAGGAGTTAATAAAAATTAAATAAACTAGTCACTGAAAACGGAAAAAAAACTCTATAAAAAAATTGAGGCCCCTTCCAATTTCAGTAAATTTTTTTGAGATGACTACTCCCTTGTATTCATTGTTATTTCATATTATATTTAGAATTCATTGGAGTTTTTAATTAATTGATCAATTTCATAAATCATAATTTGTTCAATGATTAACTCTGTATAACTAACTGTCTATTATTACTTCATAGTAATAATAATTTATATATATTATTCTTAACTATACTGTTTTCAATAAGTTCTCTTTACGGAATATACTACACCTCTTTTTTTAATTGATAAGATCAGATAAGAAGTATACAAGTAATATGTTAAATTGAGTTAATTAATAAAAGACAAAACTTTTAGAGGTGGAAACATTTTTTTTTCTGCTATATTTCATGTTGAAAATCTTTATTTTGTAGTAAAAGAGTAGGAGTTTTCAGGAGCTCAACATATTGAAATTCTTTTCTTAGGTTTGATGGTGCTGGCAGCATCTTTTTCTCTTTATTAGAACTACTAAGAATGTTTCGTTAAATTCGCTACAGTCTAAAACTATTAATTCAGTTCCACTGTGTTATTTATTAATAATTTAAACTTTCCTTTTTTTTTTTTTTAAATTGGGAAATATTGGCCTTTTTTGTTCCATTTGATATATTACTTTTGATCTGTTTATTTTTATAGATATTTCAGTTTAGAAGTTCAAATGTGTTGTAGTTTAAGTAAGGCATTGAAAATAATTATGCATTTTTTAGTTCAAAAATTTTAATTATTCGTTAATTTATATCTGTCAAATTTTAAAATACACATTTTTATAATAACTGTTTTCCTCCCTTTTTACTTTCAATTACCAATATATGTAATATTGGTAATATATAGTAAGGGGAAGTATTGCGATCGTGAAAATTTTCGAATCTGAGTTTTCAACGGAAATACTCGTTTTGAAGTCCCCTGAGTTGAAATAACCAAGTCCCACAAAATGGTCTGAGTGTGTGTGTATGTGAACACTCTAGCCTTGGACATGACAGCAACTTTTTCGTTAAAATCGCTAACCGGAAGTGGCACTTTACATCAACGGTTAAACATATTTTTATAATTTTCTCAAAAACAGCTCCAGCAATTTTTGACTAAACTCAGTGTATTATTGTATAATTAAGTGGTCTTTAATATCATTCAGGTCTTATACCCATTGATGTCACTTTACAGGGCTTAAATACCCAATGTTCAACACTTCTTCCTCTAAAGTACCTTTAATTTGGTTTATTTTAAATAATTAACTATCTTTCATTGTTAGGAGTTATGAAAAAAGACTAAATATAACTTTTGAAAGAATTTGATAATAATAAAGGATAAAAAAAAATAATGCTTATCCATGTCGAAAATGAATCTCCGGAAATAATAGTCAGAAGGTATACGTATAATATCGTTGGAAAGCAGAGAATTTTAGAAAAAATAATATCGAATAAATAAAGTTGAAAAAGGTAACGGAGAGCGAGGAAAAAAATATAAGTATTAATTTCTGAAAACTAATATTATTTAAACTAAATCACATGTTTTCTAGAAAATTAAATGAAATTTACTTATTAATATAAACTTATAACATTTTTTTTAAGTTTGACAAAAAGTGTTTAAAATCCACGGAATCAAGGCAATGACATTGCTTAAGATAATATTTCATGAATATGTTTACAGCCTTAAGTATATTTACTGTAGTTTAATAACTCTAGATCTAATATATTTAAATAATTAGGTATCTATCGGCCGTTTATTACGAAAAATCATCCTGTATATTTTTAGAAAATTGAATTAGTGAATAATTTGATGAATTTTCCCTTTATGTAAACCTAACAGTATCCACTTACAAATTAGTGTGACAAATTTTGACCTATGACAGGCATTAAAAATATCATAATTCCATTTAAGTAAACTTTGAAATGGAAAATAATAGTTTAATAACTAATAGTTCTACAATCCATAATCATTTATAGGTTAAATATTCTATTAGTTATATAGTCGTACAATCTATAATCAACCATTGATGTCATAAATAGGATTTTTGATATTTTAATGGTATTAATGATTTGTTAGCTTTAAGCTTTAGCTCGGTTAAAAATGCACTTCAAAAATTTTATTATAGCCCAACATTACTAGAAAATAGTTATTATTCTAAGTATAGCGGTCAGTGAAAGTTGTGTGTTGCGTGCACCAGATTTTTTCTTTTCTTTTAAAGAAGTTTTAATAAAAATAATTTTAACCAATTTAAATTGTACATTAGTTGTAAGATTAAAAACAAAAAACAGTCAAAATAAGTTTTTAGATGATACATTTAGTCTCACTTCCACATTTACAGTTACTTCCATTGAATCATTTATTTATATGATATGAAAATAAAATAAAATTTATTTTTTTAGTTTCAGGATTTTTTTCTAAACATATTTCAATAAACTTTGATCTATTGTGATGTCTCATTTATTTATCTAGTTCTCCCAGCGGTCAAAACATAAACCTCCAACCTTAACAATCATGTGAAATACCTCAAAGGTTAATAGATTAGTTTGGGGTACAGATACATTTTTATGAAATTATTAAAATCCATCTAAAACTTCGTGAATGCCTTCACCTTATTGTAACCTACAAATTTTTTAGCTATGAAAATTCTAATAAATGGGCCATTATCTCATTAAATTAATTAATCTAATAAGGTACTAAAGACTCATGAGGAATTTGATGAAAAAGAGGTTTTACTCCTTTAAACAACAACAAACAAACAAAAACTCATTAATACCCATTTCCAATCCACTGGAATCGTAAGATAATATGATCACCAGATTGAACAAAAAGGCGGCCTTTAAAAATATTGGGCTGTTTGGCCTACATAAATCTTTTTATTTTGACATGTTGGGGATAAAAGTCAAGCCAAGCTGCCTAATATTTTTGTAGGCAACTTTTTTCTCGATTTTGTGATCAAATTATCCTATGATTTAAGTAGAAAGCTTCTATTAGACAAAATTTATTGTCTAATAAAAGTTGTTTATTGTAATTATAAAAGTTTTACGTTACGATGATATAAAGCTATTGACAAAGTTTTAATAATTTGATAAAAGGTCTGTACCACAGACAAAATTCATTATGTGGCTGGAGATGCAAAGAACTTTGGAGTCTGCAACTATATGGCAGCGGCATTAGGCAGATGCTTTGGGTGGTTGCTTATTGAGGAGACTTTTGAAGTAAGTAAGCATTGATAGATAACAATACTTTCCCTTAATATCTCACACATAGTTAAGTGAAGATACAAATTAAAGAACTGGAAAAAAAATTAATACAATTTTGTTAAATTTTTTATTTATTTGTGATAATTTTAACTATGGATTGGAAGTAGAACTTCACCACAAAATAAAATTGAACAAAACGTACTTTGAACTATGATTCATTAAGGTATCCATATAAGAGTCATATAAATTTTTTATCATTCGCATTAATGAAGTAAGCCTATTAAAATGGAAACAATAAGCTAATTATTTTTGTTTTTCAATCTCATCGCTGATGTCAGATGTAATGCAGGAGTAGATGACTACTTAAGGGAGTAATTAATCTTTAAACCAGAAGAGAAAATTACCAGTAATATAAGGGCTATTTATTTTGGTGCTAGTAAAGTTTAATATCATTGCAGATGCCAGAAGCTCTATTAAGATTGAGAAAAAACTTCTATTTTTTCTTCTGCATGCAATGAAATATATTTTTCTTGTATGTTTACTGTAAGAGTTCAATAGAAGTTTTAGAAAAAATAAAAATGAAAGTTAAGTTTAGTATATCACAATATGACAAATCTATTGTTTATAAATTAAATATCCTTAAGTTTTGGGTATAAAGGCTTAAATGTTTCCAGTAACATGCAAATTTCAGTTGTGCCCCATATACCTATATCCTTAGCCAAGCCTATTATTTTCAATAGGGGACAAAATATCTGCCAACAATAAGGTAAATTATAAGAAGTGTTAGAAAGAATCAACCGAGTTTCTTTCCATTGATTTAAAATTTTCTTCAGAAAAATCTAAATACCTTAGATTTAACTGAAACAGAATCAATTCTCTCCACACCTGAACAACATTAAAAGAAGTACTTGATATTCAACACTCATAAATCCTAGATGACTGGCTTGGCCAACAATTGTTTGATTAAATAGTAGGGTTAAGTATACCAGGAATTCTTAGCACTTCCTGAGGTTCAAACCTTTTAATAATTTTTATAAAACTTAGAAGATAAAAAATTTACTTTTTACCACATATCTATTTTGATTCATTTGTTTTGTTAATGCTGTTCCAAGAACTGTCAATCCAAATGATGAAACCACTTATTAGTTATTTTAAATTATTTATTTTGTTATTGGGTTCTATTGAGGATTACATTTAAAGAATTACTCTGAGTAAGAGTATCGAGTAATTTAATAATTATTTTAGTAGATGATAGGCGATCAACTGAAGTAGTGATTGAATTCCAGATATAGATTAGATTTGTGTAAAATATTTGGTACTCAAAGCAGTATTTGCTCAACGGTTAAGAGCATAAGAAAAATTATACTTGAATTAGGGAAAAAAACAACAGTTGTCGGCATCCATTACAGTTATTGAAGAATAATAAGCGTTGGAAATGGTCTGGAGTTGGCGAAATGCATTCATTTGAAACAGGAATCCTTCCTGCATTCGCATATTCTATCATCTTTCACTATTTATTTAGTTTTATAGATCGAAAAAATTGTTGAAGATTAGAAACCCAACACTGGCGCATATGGATATTTTTACATTTTTTTGTTTAACTATATTTAATAAATGAAAGACATTGTTTCACATATATATTTTGGAATTGGAGATGTTTAGTGACAACAGAACCAAAATTTTTTAACCAAGTACCCATGCAATTGAAAACGGAACAACCCCATTTCCTTAAGGATATCAAAAACTGGGGTTTTACTCAAGTATTTGCTAGTTTTGGAGCATAAGAATTTAAACATATATATAAATTAAAGCCAATAAATAAAGGTAAGCAAAAACATATGTAGTTATCGATATACATATATAATTAATTTAAGGAATAGTCTATATGAAACAAAAATGTCATTTTTATTTGGATCACAGTAAGGACTTATAAAATTCTTTTTAATAATAATAAGTTGGACAGCTTAGAACAATTCAAAGCAGGCCCAAATAAAATACATAATAATATTGACTAATGCTAAAATATAAATAACAGTTCTATATACATGATAAAATATAATCCTTAACAACTAAAGTCAATCAAGGAACAATGGATACATATAGAACATTATATCAATATCTGTAATTAATTTCCCCATAAAACACACCATATTTAGAATATATAACAAGGGTGCTAACAACAGGTTGATATAGGGTCTTGTCCTAACAAGGGATTTTCAACAGAGATATATACAATTATTTGAGTATTTTAAAATGATAAACAATAATGGTTAAATATATTAACAATATTACTGGTTGAATAATAGTTAATAACAACAAGATATTTTAAAGGACAAAATTTACTAAAATCGGAGACATCCCTTAAATGACAAACAATTCATAGTTATATCCATACATAACGTATGCGCTTAAATGGCTGTAAAAGAATTATTTTATAATTTCTAAATAAGACACCAGAATAGTTTTGAGATATAGTAGAAGTACTTGAAGCAAAGTGAGCCCTTAAATTAACTAAAAGGATACAGGCAGATAAATTCACTATAATTTCAATGAAGATACTCAGTGCAGAAATTTTTTCTCTACTCTCTGTATACCAGTGGTTTTTAGTAAAATTGACCCACAACATAATTTAGAAAAAATATATTTTTAAAACTCGGCAGACATGTTCCCAACTGATGGGAGTGGGAGTTGTAAAACCTATTTCATAGTACAAACATAAAAAAAGAACTTAAGTTGGAGTTGAATCCACACCATTCCTCAATATGCTCAGTCACCACAACCTTCACAAGTTACAACCATTTTCCTTAAACAGACAATCTCTGTAATTAACTCAACCCTAAAATGTTCCTGGGTCAAAATATATTAATGAAAATAATCATGTTTTAAAGAACTTTATCAGAATTAATTGACTTGCAATGTTTTTGAACTCTTCAGAAAACATATATGCACATAAATAACAACATGCATATAAATATTTATCATTTTATATTACACAATTATGGTTAATTACTACAAGTTCTTTCCAATTTCAATTTTATTTACTTCATTTTGCTGGCCTATGACGACAAAAGTTGATTTAACCCGATGTAAAACAACCAAAACTTACAATAGGTCAGAAATACATCATCCATAACAATCCCTCATTAGAAAAAGAAAAAACAAAAAGTAACTAACTAGAAAACTTTTATGGATATGCTAATGATTAAACTAGATCATTTCGAGCAATAATATTCATCAAAATACCTTGTGGAGAATACTGTAAATTATTATTATGTCCAGAATAAGGTTCAAGAATACAGATATTGTTTTAAATAAATCTGATTTATTTGCTGTCAATTTATTAAAATCAGTGTAATCTGTCAAGGCATCAAACATTTGAGTCAATAAGATCAATGACATTGAGACCTTTTTTGCCTATTTTCCACATATAATCAGTTTTCTGTAACTGATAGATATCATATTTCCTTAATAAAATTAAAATTTACAATTTTTTTTCTCTCCCTGTAAATAAAAATGAGCATCTATTATATTTTAATTACAGCAAGAGAAGATATAGAAAAAAAAAAAAGAAGGAAAAGAAGCAAAATGTTAGTAAAACTTTTTTAGTCCTTAAATTTTACCAAATATGCTCAGACATGATTGACCAAATATGTTTTACCTTAGCTAAGCTGTTGCAGAGAATGTTCACTCTCACTGGTAAAACTTTGAACTTGATTTAAATAACATTCACTGGACTACCGAATTTCACTGTAACATAAATTTAGAGGTAAGAAAGATTTACCCTGCCAATCCTGAGCAAATAAAATTTTTATCATATGAATATGAAGCTCACTGATTACTTCTAGTGCATTTTATATCCCAATACTTTTCTAATGTATATCAGGTACTTGTAAAAGATAAAACAAAAAGAAAAAAATGTGATAAACACTAAAAATAGACTTTTCTTCATAATATAATTATTACAATCATTAAAGATTAGGTGGGAAGATTATTTTTAATAACTAATTATAAGAAGAAATATTAAAATCTTAATTAAAAACCACTCTCTATGAATTTCGTTTCGAATGAATGAATGAAATTCGATATATCAAATGAAAAACAAATTGGTTTCAAACACAGATTAAAATTGAGTTGATATGAATAAAAATACAACATGAATCACAAACTGGGTATGTATTTTTAAAGGATCATATCCATGACTAATGTTTTTGGATAGAATTTCTGAGAATGGTTTATCAGTCATAATTCTTAACACTTCAAAATATTATCTTTTATAATAAAGATAAATAATCAGTCACAATCTGTATTTAATATTTCTCGTTATACAATCGATAGCTCACTTTAAAGCAGATTTCATTCACACTGAAGAGCTTAAAGTAAATAAAAGCACCAAAACATAAACTAATTTGAATCGTAAAACCAAACGCGAAATCGAACACTTCCGAAAATATATCACAATATACCCTGTTCATTAAAAAATTCAATTACTATTACAAAAATTAAAAATATTAAACAAGAAATAAAATAAATCCCTTATATTTTCCATACTATTATCACGTGAAAATTCCCACTTTGGACATTTGACCGGGAAAAAGTTAGCACTGCAAGGGGAAGCATGTAAAAATTATGTTCCCCTTCAGGTAGATCATTGATTGTTTTGTTTGTTCGACCTGAGCCGAGCGAGCCCTGATCTCTCCTCTTCTTCATCAGAAGTGTAGGATGACAGCCCTGCACCTCTTGACGATGTAGCCTGCATTAATTCTTGATCAGGCCCCACACGATTTTCATACAACAAGATGTTTAAGGTTTCTTCATATATACGAGCTTCAGGAAATTCAACCTATGAATAAAAATTAAGAATTAATTAATCAGGTGAATCATTTAAAAAAATTAAAATATAGAAATAAAAAATGTGATGTTCAAAATACCCTTAGCAATGATCACTTCTGACATTCATAAAATAAAAAATTGAGTCATCTACATGTAATGTTGTCAAAAGTAAATACTTAACTTTTATTCTCTAAAGTAATATACTTCTGATGTTAATGTTGTAACAAAAACAAAGAGCAAAAGTAAACATTCATTTAGCAATTATGATTCATGCACATCCTGACCAATGTTTAATTTATGGCATTTAATATATTCAAATTGTTTGAGTACATTATTAATACATTGGCAAGGCGTCAGGGAATGGGAAATATAAAATTAAGAGCTGATTCTTTAAAAATATTTTCAAATACACACAGTTAAACATTATTACTTTCATTTCTAATAAAAAACAACATAGCAAGCTTTAAGTAATCATATTTTCAAAGGTGACATAAGTAATGTTTATTTATAAATAGATAAGATAATGAATCCATACTTTTAATAAGGAAAATTACAATAGGGAAAGTTTCTAAAATCAGCGAAGAGCTCAGGAATTTAGAATTATTAATGAAACTAACAAATTTTAAAAGATTCATATCATGAGATTTTAATTATGAAAAATAAAACAAAATATAGAAAAATTCTATTCTATAGTGGTATCATTTAAATTTCATTTTAATCTACAAGTGTTGTTTGATCATTCATAACAATAAGAAACATGATGATAGCAAAAGGGCTTAATTGATATTAGAATTGAGCCTTAAAAAAAAAAAAAAAAATCCCAGTAATCTATAAAATTCAACTATTACTATCTATTACTAAGAAAAAGGACTCAACCAAAAACTCTAACAAATTATAATGCTCACCTTAGTATGTTTTTTGTCTGTGGCATAAACTATTGATGTACAACAAACTTCTGCAACTTTCTTTCCATGACCATAGAAGCCCCAACAGCAAATCTCACTTGAGCCGATGACATCTTTTATAAACAGAACACGCCCACTAAATCTCAAAGATAGTTTATCAAAAAGTTCTATATTCTTGAGCAAATTGTCATCTGATGTGCTAAGGGAGAAAAAAAAAAATTATCAGCTATTTTATTTTAAAAAAATATATACAAAGAAAACTAGGCATAGATTCCTAACATACCTGGTATAAGAATATTTATTGTTGTGTCGATTAATTAATAATTTTACAACAGGCTGAAAAGAATAAAAATAAAAAATTATAATGCGATCCTTTAAAAAGAGGAACCCACAAAGAAGTAATGGAAACCCAATTTTATTTTATGATCAATACTCAAACAAACCTTTGATGTAGAATTAATAAGCAACTGCTCTTCTTTCTGTGAAGTTATTAATGGCACACGACAAATAGGCTCAGCTTCTCTTTCTTTTTTAAGTAAAGCCTGTTCACAAGCAGAAGCTAATTCTAAAATACAATAATATTTAGCTTCTGCCAAGAGTTCAGCGGTCTCCTTGGCAGACTCAGGAAGAGGTACAATACCATCTCTGAGGAAATTTAAAATGGCACCAAAATGTTTTCCACATCTATCAATAAGAACCCAACCTAGGAGACGATTAAGAATAATATCAATAATTCTAGAGAACAAAATAGATATCACATGATAACTAAATATAAATTTTAATTACCTTCAGAATCAGTCAACACCTCCATCCTACCACTGAACATTGCTCTCAACATAGTATCATGCTTAGTAAGAGTTCCAATAGTAGTGTAATGAAGAGCACCACCAATATTTAATTTCACATATTGAGATGGGTTCCCTTTAATGCATTGCCTTGTCACACTTCCAGACATGTTTTCTTTTTTTTCGAACGATTTACGCATAAAATAAATAATAAATTATAATTGTCTTGGAGAAACACATATGTTCCAGCCTTCTTTTAGGAGATAGTTCCAGTATATAATGTTCATAATTACGATAAATAAATACTTTAATAACCACAGCCTGTCAAAGGTAAAATAACTTACTGAAATAAAACCAAATTTAACTACACACTCACTCCATTACTCAGTTACACACTAAACTGGGAACAAATCCATTATCTCCACAACATATGGGCGAAAAATTGGTGATTAAACGAGATGAAGTAGCTGATGCCCACAGCGCCCCTACCAATGTTTTCCTAAAACTAATAATAAAAGGATGCACTCATTAGTCGCTCAAAAAGTAATCAAACTTTAAAACCTGGTATTAAATGTTAAAAAACCTATTACTTGTATAACCAAAAATCTTTATTATTCAATAATTTGATTTACATTAAACCAATTATAGCATGGAATATTGTTTTCTAATTGATGGTTCAGGTTTTCAGCCTAAAAATGTCATCAAATATTAGTAACTATTTATTATGTTATGTGTATAATTATTAAATTGTTACCAATATTAATCTACTTTTTTTCACTGATTCCCCACCATCACTTCTTGATTTACCACTTGGTAAAACTACACATAATAAAATTTTTTTTTTTATGAAGAATGGTAATAAGTATTGTTGCAGTAGAGTATAAATTGTTAAATTAAGATAGTTAAAACAAGATTATAATAGCTAAAATTAAAGAATTCGTTAATTTTCTGCTCAAGTTAACATACTGAAGAATTCATTATATTATGTTTCCTAAAGATTTACTAAAAATAATTCCTTCATATTTTCAATCAGCACAACAAATGGAAATCCCACTTATAAACATATCATCAGTGTTGGAATATAAGACACTAGATCCAATTAGTGAATTTCGTATGAAATGATGTCTGCATGGTAAAAAAATAATGTATGGAATAAATGAATTGATCCATCAAATTAGTAAAATGAGACATTGAGTGATCTGTAATATTTTCTAGGTGAAAATATTTGGTTTGATAAAACAATTGTAATTTTTTGGCAACTTTAGACTTTTGCTTGAATGTTTTTTTGGTCCTACCCTTCCTCGCCTTTAAGGCTATACAGATTTTGTTCAGGACAGGGGGTGAGGACAGGAATTTAAAAGACTCCCCTAGCACCAGGAGACCAACTCATGGCTATTTTTATCCAGTTGTCAAGTTGCTGGACAATGGTGGTCCTGTGCACACTTTAGCCCATTTGGTCACCCTGTCTCCTTTTGCTTGAATGTGCACTATATGACAATTGTGGCCTACATACTAATTTTATGAAAAATCAAATACTATTCATTAACATTTAACCATCCAGACTGCCTCCTCCCCACCTCAAACTTGTAATTAGTTGGTATACTTTAGGAAATTTATGTATCCAGTATATTACAATCAATAAAAAAAAAAAATAGATTTTTTTGGCCCAAGTACATGTAATATATTCAATTTCAAATTTGAATTTCAAATTAGAAATGGTATAATATAAACATTATAAATGGTATGGGAAGGAAAAACAGTTTCCCAAAACTTGATCGATCAGAAAGGATTTTTTAATAATTCTGTCAAAATATTTTTCTTTCTTTAGAATTCACTAGAAAAATAAATAACTGATTTTGTTACATTGTAGATTAATTTTGTGAGTGTGCACGATCTATTGTGAGAAAGAGGAATTAAAATCTTTTAGCGGCATCTAGGAAGTGTTTGGTTAACTAAATAAGGGTGGAATAAAGTCAATTGTGCAGGTTTCCCGGCTAAATTCGTGCTGGAGTATTTGATATGACGACATATGACAATGTACATGGATCAATAAAACTAATTAATTAGCACTCATAAATTAGTTTCATATTATTTATACGATAGGGAATATTTAATAAATTAGTAATAAACAAATAATACAATCGTAACTACTTCACAAATTTTGCCGCGGGAAAATTCAAACTACAATTTTTAATTATTTAAAATAAGCATCAAGAAAAAAATCAACTTAAACATTTTAAATTACCTGTCAAAATGAACGTAAATTTAATGATAGTCAATTAAAAGTCTAAGATGACTGCGTTATTATTTTATAAATATTGTACAATTTTTTTTTTAATTCATAAATTAGGTAATTTTTAACATAATCAAATTTATAATAATGTTTATTCAATTGAATAACATCTGAAAGATGTCAGAAGGAACTTTTGATTATTGCATTATTCATTTTAATAAATTATAAACCTGTCATAGTATTGTTGTGGAAACAGCATGGCAACCACTCACCACAAGAGCCTCTTCATTCAGGAAGAAGTATTTCTTGATATTGCAAAAATGTACACTGCCTGTAGATGACCGACGATATTTTAATTTAGAACAAATAGTATATAAAAATAATTTAAGAACAATGGTGTAAATGAATATTAAGAAATATGTCACTATTTAAAGTTCGGGATCTGTGGACTACTAAGTGTGGCAAGGATGAAGTATTCGAATCTAGTTCACTGCTGATTGCTGATATAAGAGGACAAAATTTTGATGACATTATTGTGGGCAGTCATTCTGGTTATTTAAGAATATTTAATCCACAGTTTGATTTAGAAGCAGAAGAATATGGAGCTTTTAAAGCAATTGACCAATTAATAGAAATTCAATTGGAAGAACCAATTTTACAAATTGCTGTCGGGAAACTTGTTTCGCAAGTATCTTAAATTTATTTATTTATTTTCTGTGTAATTATTAATAGCTTTTAATATATATGTTTTTATATATTTACAGAGGCTCAAAAGTTAATCACTTAGCTATATTACATCCGAGAAGTGTTGCCGTATACAATGTCATTACAAAAACAGGATCAACTGAGCATGGTAAAAATATTTTATTAATTAGTTAGCTACTCACAAGGTCTGGCATTTTTAATTCATGTTAATCAACTTTAATTAATATTTGTTATATTATATTTTTGGGACTTAAATGCTATTGTATCTCTTACTGATTAGCAAGTTGAAGTGGACTCTTTGACAGTATTTCTACCTTGTTTTCTTTTTACTCTAATTCCAAGGAACTATGAAATCTTCCTCAATTCTCAGTAAAAATAATTATAATATAATTAATTATAGTCATTATATTTATAATAACATAAAGAGTATGACATTTATATGATATTTCCTTCCATTATATATCCCTTCTCATTATAGGCACTGGTACTTAGAAAATACTGTTGTACTTAAAAAATACTGAGCAAAGATTATTGGATCATGATAACAGTATTCAATGCGTGGGAAGGGGGAGGGTAGGGATAACACCATACATGAAGGAGTAGCTCAGCCATCAGTTTATTATCTATAATATAATATAATAATTACCTACATGGTTTATCGAACTTTTTGTGAGTTATTTATCAGTAAATTATTATAACATATTGGAGGGGCTAACCCCTTTCATAAAATATTGGGGCAGGGTTGAAAATGCCTTGAGTTAGAAATAAGTAACAAATAATTAGGAATTTATTAATTTTAGGTGATCAATGCCAAATTAATATTGTGTACGAGCATCACCTGAAACGTTCAGCCTACAGTTTTCTGGTTGGTGGCTTTGGAGGAGTAGAAGGAAGAGATTTTTTATGTGTTCTGGGTCTTGATGGCACTTTGATGTTCTATGAACAAGAGACATTATCGCTAACGAGACTTCTACCAAATTTTTTGCTGCCTTCTCCTATAGTATATATCCCTCATACGGATTCATTTGTGTTGTTAAACTCAAATTGGCACATTGAATCATACAGGTAAGCTCTTGTAATTGTTTATAAGTTTCTAATTGAAAATTAATTTAATAATGAAGAATATTTACATTTCAGATATCAAATTCTTGGTGAAGAATCGACTGATCGGGTATTACCATCATGGTCCTATAATTTGGGTGAAGATGTAAATGACATGCGCTTCTTGAGCTTAACTACAAATGAAGCTGCAATTTTTGTGCTTACAGAAAGAAATTTTTATTGCTTTGGGGAAACTGGAGTTCTTAAGTTTTGCAAAAGACTTCAATACATTCCGCTATGCTGTCACATTTATTCTAGAGGTATTATAAGGCTTGACTTGACTAAATGAAAATCATTTACTTGTGTATATTTTAAAATTGTTAACAATTTATTGAACTTCTAAAATATAAATTTTAATGCTAAAAAAACATATTTTACTAATTAGGTTTCTTCACAAATTAATATTACATTCAGCAATGAAATTAGTTGCAAATGAGTAAGAGATCAAAAAAAATAAATAATAAAAGTTTCCTTAAATCGAAGTCAAGAAAGCATTCTATATATATTTTTCCCAGTATGCATTTTAACTGGGTCATCAAACTGCTTAATTTATTAAAACTGTAAAATAAATAAATAAGTAAACTGACTTCTGTTTATGCTAATAAATAGTTAATTAACATAATGGATTACATAATTCCAGTAAACAACTGGTTTTAAATTTTTTTTTAAATTTTTTAATTTATTAACTAGGAGAACCTTCTGTTATGTCAATGATTGTAAGTGATTCGAATAACTTACTAATATACGAAGGCAGTAAGCTAAAGTGGGGTGCTCAACTACATGCCACGCCTGTTGCCATAAGCAGAGCTTCATTGGAGGTAAGTTATTTACAAACTCTTAACATTCAATCGTAATTGACTTTAAAAGTTGTCTTATTTTTTTTTTATTTTTTATTTTTTTATTTTTTTTTTTATTTTTTTTTTTTTTATCAAAGAGTCTTCAGGGCTGTTTAATTGTATTAACTGAAGAGGGTGAATTGGAATGTGCTTACCTTGGCACTGAACCGACAGTATTTGTTCCTCCACCTATTCAGAACAGCGTTTTATCTAATGCTGAATTAGAATCAAAATATGCTTCTCTCCAACATCAAATAGCGACCTATTCCAAGGCAAGCAGTGAGTATTTAATCTTTATTTAAGATTGAAAAATTAAAAATTTTTAAACCATAATTTTGTTTAAAAACATCATTGGTATTAATTCTATGTTGTAAAATATTCAGAAGAATCATTGGGTGCACCGACTCAAAAGTCAGAAATAAAATTAACAACAAAAACATGGCCTATGTCGGATTCTGATACAACTTGTAGCATTGAAATCTACCTTACAACTGGGTCATCTGTACATAATGTGAATATTACAATTGAAGTTTGCAAACCTTTGGTGGCTGAGCCAGCAACACACTTCATCCAAACTATTAGTAAGTTTATTACTACTATTACAACACAATAAGTTTGAACTTTGTTGGTGCAAAATTATATCATTATCAGTTAAAGACATTCTCAACATAAGTGATAACTATTAAAAAATAAAAATGAAAACATTAAAGTTGATCAGAAATAGAAAAAGTACAGTGTACTATTCAGCACAGGGGAACGTACGGAGGGGAGGGGGCAGCTTCCGGGTTGAAGCCCCTACAAAATGGTAAAATATAACAATTTCTTATGAAAAAACATTAAACGATTATCTCTAAAAGTATTATTATTAGTGTAATTACATTTAATTTGGGTCCTTCCCTTCCTTGCCATTAAGGCTATACGGGATTTTCCCTGGCCAGGGGGTGTGAGCGGGGATTTAAAAGACTCCCCCGGCACCAGGGCGTGAACTCGTGACTATTTTTATATCTTTGATTCATATGTCAGGTTGCTGGGCAACGGCGGTGCAGTGCACACGCTTTAGCCCATTCGGCCACCCCGCCCACTATCAAGAATCACTTAAACACCATTTCATATAGGTAGTTAGGATCTTTTTTCTTCCCAAGTACAAATCGGTATATATATAAAAGCTTTCAGGCTGAAGCCTCCCATAATTAAATCCTGGATCCGCTAGTGCTATTCAGGTGTCTCAGTCTTCAAATAGTTTTACCTGTAGTTAATCCACTAACTTGGGATTTTAACCCTCACATTTACTTTATCCTTACATTCACATAATCCTTACTTTTTTCTTTTATTTAACTATATATGATAGTATCACTTATATTTGGGGATTTTATTTTTTGAGCATTTTTTGTAATACTTTTGTTTATGAAATTGAAAGTTTAATTAGATCATTATTAGATTTACAATGTTTGTTTTACAGACGATTCTGTTGAAGTATCTACTCGAATCAGTGTTTCAGAAGGAGATATATGGGATTTAAACTGCAACATAGTCTGCACATATTTAAGTGAGGAAACATTTGGTGTGGTGAGCACTGATGTTGAACTACCTGCAAAATTAGTGTTAGAGTTAGCACCTCCTTCAAGGGGACAAGATTTCAGTCTTACATTCACAGCTATGCAAGTTGTCATCTTATCAGCATTATTTTCAGGTTATTGTTATTTCAGATTAAATTAATAACAATATATTAGGTATTTATTTCACATTATTTTATTCAGATGTAAATTTTCAAGAAATTTAATAAGTACCTCATAATAGTATAGATCATTCTACCATTTTGTATGAATTACAAGATTCCAATTCTATAAAAAAATAATAAGTGTAAACATTATAATTTATTTATTCATTTTTTTTTATTACGTTCATGATAGAGTACTAACATTACTGATTAATAATTTTATTATTATCATTATTAATAATAATGAGTTTAGTCTGTATACCTGATTATGATTAAATTGAAATCATGAACAGGAAGGAAATAGCATACTACTCAGAAAAATAACTGAAAAACACTCAAAATTCAATCCTTGGTCATTGTTATAATGACAGTTATAATAACAGAATAAAAAAGTAATTTGTAAAAAATTAAAAGTTAGTAATTTGTACAAAAAGTAAAAAAATTATAAAAATTGATAATGAGTGATAATTTGTTTAAAAAAGAAAAATAATTAGTCCATTTCAAAATTGGAAAGAAAGAATCAAAGACAAATGAGCATTAGCCACTTCAAACACCTTGTCTGAAGACTGAGTGAAATTTTAGTCAATGCTCAATCTATTTTTGTTACATGCAGGACAGGAATCCAGAGCACAAGGGATGAGGGAAAATCACCATGGGCCTTGAGGAATAGAAGAATTAAATAAATGATTTATACTTCGCAAACAAATTTATATTTTATATTGAAGATTATAATTAAATGCAAAATTATATACTGAATATATGAGTTTTGAGGGTTAATTTAACATGATTAAATGACATAAAATTCTACCATTTTGCCACGAAAGTTTCAAATTATTTCCAATTACTTGCCCTAGCCAAGGAAGTCACACAATATTGTAACACCCAGGGCTCCTGAATGTCTAGCTCTGCCACGGTTCACATGAAATCTATTTCTATCACTTTAAGTGGTGGAAAGAAAATAGAAATTAGAAGTTTTAATTGAAGTTAAACAATCCACATCCATCTGAATAGAGAACATTGAAACTGAAGGTAGGTGAGAATCAGGTCTCCTCAGTTTGACGGGAACCTCTTGCAGTTTGCTAACCATGAAAAATAGAAATACAAAGCTTGGTGGCATTTTTTATAAATTGGTAGGGAAACGGATCAAATGATTGGGCAGAAGAATGATGTGTCTAATTTTCGTTTGTGTGTGTGTGTATGTTTACAACTTATCCTGTTAATTCTCTTAAAACTCATTAGCTCATATTATCAGAGCCACTAATAAAAAATAAGTAAGTTAATAATTATAGAAATAGAAAACTTATTCTCCATTAAAGTCGCCAACTTGTGTTATGGGACACCTGACTATATGAATTTTTTTATTTTTGGGTCCTCCCCTTCCTTGACGTTAAGATTTTCCCAGGCCAGGAAGTGTGGGCGGGGATTTAAAAGACTCCCTCAGCACCGGGACGCAAACTCGTGACTATTTTTATATCATTTGATTGATATATCAGGTTGCTAGACAACAGCGGTGTCTTGCAAACGCGTTAGCCCATTCGGCAACCCCGCCCACAAAATATATATATATATAAAAGCCAGACCAGTCTCGTGCCAGGCACATTCTTTATTATAGTATAGGATGCTAGCCACTACACTATGGAGTTCACTGATGAATTGTGATAAAATGAATCGGTCAAGAAATTTTACACAGAAGCCATAATTGCTTTGGTACACGAATTCATATCAATTGGTGGAATAACCCATACCTCATTTTAAATGGAACAACAAAACTATAATCCTTGAGTAATCAATAATTTTAAATTTTAAGATGAAAAAGAATGTTTTATTTATTAAGGAACCAATGTAGCTTAAGAATACTAATAGTAAGAATAGAATAGTAGGCACTAAAGAATTGGTCTTAAGCATTAAAGGAAAAAAAATAAGCTTTTTGAGTAAATTGTATAGAGATCTAAATTTCAGTAGAAAGAAATTATATAACAAGTGTAAGGCACATTAAAGATAGAATCAATGAATAAAATTAATTAAAAAAAGCGAAAAAGTATGATTTAAGAGTAGCTAGAAAGGAGGCTTGACAGTATGAGAGAAAGTTAATTCCAAAAATAAGTTACTAGGATAATGATGGTGAACAAATTATCTTTGTGAATAATTTTTTCTTTGACAATTGTTTCAATGGCTCTATTAGATGAAGGAGTTTTAGTAGAGAAATGTTTAAGTCTAATGACTACTGACTATCAATTAATAATATCTTTTGTTTTATATACATTGAAACGGCTCTTTTTCTCATATCATGTGTAACATATGGCTTTCACGAATACTATATTTAATGTTGTTTTTTTTTTCAGACTTTAGTGCTGACTCATGGAATACGACAAACAGCAATGAATATGCTGCTGGTTTTCGCTATAGGAATAATCCTTCAATTACCTTCACGCTCACCTTGAACAGGCCAGGTTTGAAGTATCGCCTTGAAGGTGATTCTGTGACTTCTCTTACTCTTCCAGTAATGCTCAAAATCTATTTCATTATATTATAATTGGATATTTTCTATAATACATATTATAGACATTTTTTTTTATTTCATTACTCTTTAGATATAATTTCATAATTATTTTGCATTAAAGGTTGTTTATATTTATAAAATTATCTACAAATTATTTAAATAATACTATAATCTAAAATATAAAATATTTTCCCCCCTGAAATTCTAAAAAATTATTTTAATTGCATTTTTGCTAATTTAAATGAGATTATACTCAATCTATCCAAGCAGCAACATTACAAATAAATCATCAAAAATTAAATAAGAGTTATTTTCATTATATTTTAATTTATGTATTATTTTGTTGGTATGTTTCTTCATAAAAAAATTATTTTGTAATTTTTCTTTTTATTTTATAAGCTATTATTTTATTTAATAATTATATTACATATGTGAAATTCTTTAAATTTTCATTTGAAAATTTTAAGAATCTAAAAAACATAATTTTAGTTTTACTATATGAGTAACCTAATATCAAAGACGGACAGTTGTCATTTTCAGAAAATAAAGAAAAAGTCAATTTTATATTATAGGTTCAATTCATTATTGGTTGAATGACAATGATAAACTGTTTCTGATCGTTTCATTTTAGAAAGTTCAAGTTGATTCATGACAAAAAATAATTAAAATTGGTTTAAATTGAAGCTATATTACAAAAATTGGCTTTTTACCATCTTTTAAAAATGACATATATCCGTCTTTGATATGAGGTCATTGATATAAATAATATTAAATTTTACAAACTTTTAAAATTTGATTTTCAGGTATGTATTCTTGCAAAGAAACTGGCTTCTAAACATCTTAAATCAAACCAATATTCATTAGGCCTTAATGAGCTGTTCAGTGCTATTGATGAAAATATTCGACTTCGAAATCTAATTCGAGAAATAGAGGTAAGTTAGATATTGTGAAGTGTCAGCTATTAAATATTGCAAAATATACTTTCATCCACGAAATTTTGTTCGAATTTTCAGACTGAACTAAGACTGGGAAGTGGTCAAATGAGATCTGCACAACGACGACTTCTCAGTAAAATGAGAGACAAGACACCTTGTGATATGAAACCATTGAGTGCTCTTATAGCTTACACCCATGATTACTTGATGGATGCTGCACACAGAATGGAAGGAGCCCAGATTGTAAGAATCTTGAAAATATTACTTATTCAAATTAATTTCAATTTTTATTTATATTTTTTAAAATTTTGTGCAATCTAACCGCAATGTTCCAAGTCAGTATATTAAATCCAATCATAGGCTTTGGTATTAATTTATAATTCTGTGCCAGAACATAAAGGATTCAAATTTCTTGGAGGTAATCTTGCAAGAAATGGCTCTCACACAATGTTAGCAGATAATATTGACATATTACAAAAGTTGAATAATTTAGCTACATATGATATTAAATCTTTGAGATTGGAAAACAAAGAGATCCCCTAAGGCAGAAATAAAAAAGTCTAGATTTATGTTCTTATAATTTTCTTTTGATTCTGCTTTCCCTTTTTACTATTTATACCTTCCATTCCTTAACCTGTGGGGCTATCTCCTCTGTTTTGTATTTCTCTCCACTTCTTGGCTCTTTAGGCTCTTATTTCTCTATGTGGCCAATAAGTTTAAAATTAACTTGTCTTAGGCTGTCAATCAAATGTTGAATGATGATCTTTTTGATCATTTAACTTAAAGTCTTTAGACTACAATCTACTTTAGATGTATCGAACATTTTTGTTGTACTAATTAAAAATATTCTATATGCAGGGAGAAGGAGGTATAATCGTATTTATTATATCACAAAATATTAGTCAAGAATTATAAAGATTTGCTGAATGGCTAATTATATTTTTATCCTATTCATTTTAACATATTGTAAAATTATGAGGAACTGTATTCTGTTTCTGATGGCATTGATTGTGATTATTGATATATTTAATAGGACCTTAACAAAAATGGCCACCTTTTAGCAAATTTATTGAAGTTTACATTCACCATGATAAGACTGACAGGGAATGTTTTGGAAGAAGAATTAAAGCAAGCTTATGAAGCCGTTTGTTGCACCCAGCACATGTCTGAGGAACAGGTTAGAATAATTTTTGATTCCTTTAGTTAAAATAAATAAATATATATATATTTATATAATTTAATTTAAATAAAACTTATATTTTAGGGATGGGCAGAAATCACTCAATTTTCTTTGAGTCATTTATTAAAAACTATCCTAGCAAGGTACGATAAGTACATTGACTTATATATCATTAGTATAAAATGATGATAGCAAGATTTACATGTATCAATGTATAATATCAACTTTTTAAATATAATTTTATATATTAATATTTCAAGAATAGAAAAGTTAAAGATTATGAGCTCACAGAACTTTTTAATAATTTAGATCTGTAAGAGACCAATTCACTCCTGATCCACATACAGAAGTTATAACAAATAGTTTTCTATTGAAGAAGAAGATTGCAGTAGTTATTGATAGGCTCTTAAAAGGACATAGACCAAGGGAGGATAGAGGTAATCTTTATAATATAAAAAAATCAATTAATTATTTGTTAGTAGTTACTATATTATTTTAAGATGAATATCGTACAATTTTCTGCAATATAAAATATGTTATATTATGAAAAGTTACATATTATATACTTAATAATTAATTTTATTTGACATTATAAAGTTTATGAAATCACCATGTTTTTAACAACATTCAGTTCCAGTAATGACCCTATCCGAGTCTTCCTTAACTTTCTGAATATCTCATGTATCATAATTTTAAGATTTTTCATCAGAGCTAAAAGTATTTAGAATTACTAACTTGAATTATACCTGCACATCCTTTCCAGCTACCTATGAAAAAAAAAATTTAAGCTTTCACCTTGATTGACTTCCATAAAAAAAAAGTGGACTGAACAAAGAAATTTTAATATCACATTAACAATCAATATCAGTTGCGAAATCGAAAATGATTATGATAATCATGAAAAACATTTATTTTATATATTTTATCAAATGTAAAGAATATTGGAAGTCCTGATAACTGCCCCACTTCTTTTAACTTTCATCAAAAAAAAAAAAAAAAAAAAAAAAAGTAATCCTGATGTTTCATCCGTTTTTTGAATGAATATTTTTCATATATATTTGTTTTTAAAATTTTGATATATGCCATCTTCATTAAAGTAATAATTAAAAACATTAAGACACAATTACAGAAAATCCTCCGCTCCTAAATCAACTTCCTTTTAAAAATTTTCCCATAGTAAAAAGGAGAACTGTTGTAATAACAAATGATATAGAAAAGGATGTTCCTCAAGGATATCTTCATTGGTGCTTTGCTTCTTGGTTTAGTATGGAAGACATTCAGCTGAAAAATGACTATTGTTAATGTCTCCATCTAAAGGAATGCTTCTCTCAGAGCATGGCGCATCAATTAAAGAGTTATTGCCATTAGGGAATCTAAAATTGGGTAAAGTGTCTGATTGGGGCAATCTGAATAGCAGATGTGGTAATTTCATTTTGGTGATAATTGCAGTTTGCTATGACAATTGGATACCAAAAGAAAACTGACACAAATTTAGCATCCATTTCTCTTTATTTGATGTATCAGGAATATGTTCCTTTATTTGGAATCATTAACAATCATCATTTCTTATCTGGATGTCTTCTCTACTACAGCGAGGAGTGAAACTCCAGCAAAGAAATTCTTAATATTCAGCAACACATACTTTCAACTTGATTCGTGACACACTACGGTAGTCTTTATGATATGATTCCGTATCACTGTCTTTTTTTTAATTTTTTATTTCCTTTTGCGACATTCTTACAATGTAGAAGAGAATATAAAACTACATAACAAAAAATATGCCAATAATATTGTGTAATGATGACCATGTTTTGTTAGTCTGTATTGTTATAAGCCATTATGGTAGCAACCACAGTTTATTTTGAGAACTTTGTCTGCAATTTCAAGGTGTGTTCAGACATTTCACAAAATATAGGAAAAAGAAAAATTTAAATGCTTGTTTCCCTACGTTAGTGTTTTTGTTTCTTTTATTAATCTTTTCCATCTGATTTTGGTAACAAGAGAAACAAACAAAAGTTAGGCTGGACGTTAATGTTGCTGTTAATTTAGTTAGAGAACCCATTATAAGCCACTATGTTTCCCAGAGTTTGTGATATGTCTAGACACACCTTAAAGAAGTATAAAAGAGAAATATTAAATGTGTTACTAAAGGTCATTAAATTATATATGTACTTATTGATCTCTAGTTACTAAAAAAAATATATTTTAAAATAAACTATGCATTTTTTAAAACTGCTAAATTTCAGAAGTAAATCATTCATAATATTTTTTGTACAGCGGTTTCTCCTATTATGGAAGGAGATGATGAAGAAGGAAAGGAAAAGCCAACTGACTCTCTTTATGATGAATTAGGTAATCCATTGATTCTAATTATATTTTCAATAAAAACTAGTTTATTCTATTCTGGAATCAGTTTTTGGTACTTGATTATTTAAAACATTTTTAATTAATAAATCTGCATTGTATACTTTTTATGTTTTATCTAGTCATTTTGCCTTATCTTAAACATATTTAACATAAATTTATTTTTTGTAGTTTGTGTTGTAATTTATTTATTTTAGATGTTTTGTTTATTTCGCTTACAATAAGTTGATAAAAGAAAATTTCAGGATTTAATATTGGTAAAATAAGAAAAGAAATTTATTTTTTTTAGTTTGTGGTAACTAGTTTTTATTTCTTGGAGATAAAAACTGGAGCCAAGCTTAAATTTTTGGTAACCTATAACTATAACTAATTCCTGGATATAATATAATGTTATCATGTATTATTATTTATTGATAGTCCAAGATAATTATTGTGTGATTATTAATTATTGATAGTATAAATTGAAACCACATTGAAGAATGATGTGATGTTCGGTCAAGACAATAATATGTCTGTGTTTAACAAAAAATCATTTCAAGAATTAAGACATTATTTCAACTGAAATTTTAATACCAGCAAAATAAATTTTATTTTTGCATTATTTTTTTATTTATGTTCATAAATTATTTCTTATGACCTCTGCTGATTAAGATGTTAAATATAAAATAATTGGATTTTAAAATTGATATTAATTTATGGCCTATTTTTTTGTCTCTATGTACTTAAAAAAAATGATCAAAACTTTCATAACTCTTAAATTATTAATATATTATAAATACAAATGACATCGAAATGAATAACTTTTTTAATGATAAAAACACCCAAATTTTAATACACTGTTTTAACCGCTCCTTGAATAATTACTATACTCTTATGTTTGAAATAATTTAACTTCACTAAATAGTTTTTAGTCTTCACACAGTTTTTTTTATGAACAAATGAAGTATCATTAATAAGATTCTTTTGACTACGATGAAAAATGTCTCTCTAGTATTAAAATATATCCTCTGAAATTACATTAATGTGAAATTTCTCACTTTAAAAACTAAGAAATTAAAAGAGAAATTAATTCAGACATAGAAGAAGTAAATTTTATTTATAAATTTACAAATTATGAGTCTTATGCGATTTTTAAAGTGATTTTGGGTGATACATCCTTATAATCAAACAAATTAAGATTTGATCGATGAATTTAATTTAGAAAAAAAATTAATATACTATATAATGGAAATTACAAATTCCTTGTATGGATGGATTTCTATCATTCTAGTTAAAAAATTTGTTAATATGGAAACATATGCCCCAATAAATAAAAGATTTGCTTGCTTACAATATAAGTATAGATCTTTTATCTATTTTTAATTTTATGTACCTAAATATTTATATTAAAAACAAAACAAAGGCTAATTTATATTATATTTTAATTTATTTTTGTTTTATTTAATGTCACGTATATTTCAGAATCTGAAGAGATAAGAAATTTACTGAAAAAGTCACAGCACAATCTTGATCATCTATGAAGAATTGAGTTGGTTGAAATAAGAAAGCCAGAAAGTTTCTAGTCGAACACCCTTAATCTGATGAAAGATAAAACAGGAATTATTTCCTGTCTTTGTTAAGTTCTGTTCTTGAGATAATGTTTTTTCAACAACAAAAAAAAATAACGTGATAGAATAAAGTTTGAGATTTAGTTAGCCAAAGATTCAGTAGATGATAAAAGGATACTTTATATATGTGATATAAATATAAGAAAAGTATAAATTTATAACTTTTTCTGATAATAGAGTAACATATCTTCTATTGTTCCATGTTTCTTTAAAACTTTTGAATTCACTCACACAGTTAATCTACCAACTTTGTTTTCTCCATAGTTACTTTATAAGCAGAATGTATTATCGTTTATCAAAATAAATGAAGTATATTATTTTTGCTATAGTGTGTTTGAATTTCCTAATTTTTATCTTCTGGCTTACTAGTATTTTTTTCTCTTTCTCTATGATTTTCTTTTCAAATATATTGGTACATATATTTAATATATATTACAAGATGATATTGTAATCTTGTAATATCTCAGAATAATCATAAATATTTTGTAAATAAAATCAGAGTTTAAGGGGAAAAACATTAGTTACAACTTCTTAGCATGTATGAAGTTATAATCAAATCACGGATAAGCAAAACCATAATTGTTTAAAACCATATAGCAAATTCTGAAACTTTGTCTCTTTGAAAAAATAATGAGCTCCAGTTTTTTTTTTATTTGTGTAAGTAAACTTGTATTAAACTAAGACAGAACTTTAAAATAATTTTTAAAAATTGTTTTTATGTGGTTGAAAGATTTTTCTGTATATCCGTTTAAGCACTGTGTCCCCTCATATACTGCACATCCTTATGTTTCACATTAGTTGTATTGACGTTATTTAAACTAATGCCCAAATGTTTCTCATAAATAACCATCTGGTTTTGCTATTTTAAGTTTTTATATTTTAACGTTTATATGATAATTAATATAAAAAATAAGCTTTTATGACGATTAAATCTATTCTCTTATTCGTTTAACATGTTTCAAACACAACTACAACTTAAGTCGAGTACGTGAATTAGTAAAAATAACCATTTCCTTGAAATTCAATTTAATTCCTTAATTATCAACAAGCAGCTGTAGGTGGGTCAAATTGGAAACAACTATTCTGAGGGTGAAAATCTTTATTGCTGATTCCCATTTAACCTTAACGGATACTATTTCTAAGTTTATGTTTTCCTTTACCTTATTCAGAAGTGAGTATAGTGTGAGTATAAGGGGTAGGTTTAGTCTAGAAATAAGTGTAAACAGCGACCCTCCATGTTCTCTAGTTTTAGTGATCTTTGTGGGAAAAACAAAGTCTGAGATTTTTTTGTTAGTATTTTTATTTCACCTTTAATATTTAAAACTAACATTGATTAATGCAGTGGAAAATGAATAATTTAGGGTTTTATGAAATGTATTGTGTCATAGCATTAAACTTTTCATCAGTTTGCCACGTTGTTTTAGAATACTTTTATAATGAGCTTAATAAGAAACAAAAAAATTGGTATCACTGCAGAGTAGTTAATTAACAAATACATTTAAAACTCTGATAATGTATAATAATATGTCTGAGACGAAGTAAATCAAATTATTAGTCTAAATATGTTAGTCTAAAAGACACCATGTCCATAACCTCCAGGATACAGATATATATATATATATATATATATATATATATATAAATTTACTAAAGAAAATTAGATTAATTTTACATCTATAAAATATAAAGAGATTCACGAGCGGATCTACAGGGGAGGGATTGGAGGGTTGGGGCTGAAGCCGTCCCTCCCACCCCCCAAAATGGTAAAATATAACCATGTTTTATGAAAAAAAATATTTAAAAATTATCTCTTAAAATATTATAATTCGTGTAATTATATTTAAAAGGACTTTAGGAATCACTTAAACACCATTTCGTATAGGTAGTTAGTTTCCAAAGTAATTATCGTTACTTTAATGAAAAAAAAGCTTTCGGGCTGAAGCCCTCCCCAAAATTAAATCATAGATCTGCTAGTTAAGAGATTCTACTGTTTTGTTTGTAATTATTAATAATCATTATACTTAACTTTGTCATCATTGTCATAATATTATGTCATTTGATGGGTTTTCACCATTTCCCATAGCAAAAAGAAGAAATGTTATTAAAATCCACTGAGGTACATTTAATATATCAAGTATATAAATCATGCAACAGTGAACTGTATTAATATTTCAAAATTTAAAGAATTATCAATAATAAATATTTGTATAGAGCAATATTAATATTAATATTTATTTTAGAATTTATTTATTTTTTAAAAAATAATTTTCAATAAAAATTACTTTTTATTCGTGGAAAGAAAAGAACTTACTATGTTTATATATTTTGTGAAATTTGTAAAAACTTTTTCATTTTTAATTTTAACCAATCGATAAATATTTAATGTTAAATTAATCTTTAAACATTAATACAGAATAATTAAGTTTTATATTTATAAAATATAATTCGAACGATATTATTTAGAAGCTGGCAGAACTGGACTTTGAGCGGAATGTGAGCTCTGTGAAATCGAATTACCTTTCGATAAACGTCTTTAGCTAGATTTTTTCATTAGTCCATTACATTACTCCGTCTAACGCGTTTCGGGTCTGTGTCACTTATATTATCTCGATTCAAAATACTTTTAAAAAGTGTTATTTTATTTGTTCTTTGTGAGTCAATAGTTTTTCTAGTTTTCACCACAGACGCACCGTTTCGTACGCTTTAGTTTTCTGATTCGAAAAATCTCAAGAGAGAGTGAACTTAAAGAAAGAAGAAACTGCAGTCGTTGAAGTTCAAAGGTGAGTGGCACATCAGTTAATTTGTTATTGTTATTAATTTTTTTCTTCCAATGAGCATAGTTTTAGATTGATTAACAAATATTTTTGGGCACTTAAAAAAAATGGCACCTGAAAAACTTTGTTAATCACCATCACTTATTTTATTCGAGTCGGATTCGGTTTAATAATATTTGAAACGAGCTCCATTTTATTTTTGTTTTAGTTTATCTTGATTTTAAAATTTGAAAACTTAATTCTTCCAATTCATTCATATTAATAGTTACGACTGATTTGGGAAAGTTCCTAAACACAGCGCTGAGCTCGTCGATAAACATCTGATCCGTCACTATGCTGGGCGAAACGATGTCATCGATGGCAATTCAGTACCAAATTTAATTAAACTTGCCATTTGTATTATTTGATTTCATAAATTTTCACTACCTCTATAGATTTATTGCATGATTTCAAACTGGAAAATGATGTACATCTAAAAAAAGCAATGATATAATATGATAATTTAATGATTGTGTGTAAAGTATGACTAGTAAAATGAAGTATAACGAAAAAGTATAGAAAAAAATAAAAATTTAAATTTAATATTGAGATTACTCTTAGGGTGACGGCTAATTATTTCATAATAATGGTACCGTTAAAACAAAATATAAGAATTTTACTAAAATAAACTGCATAAATGCTTTTTTAAACATTTTGATCAAGAAATAATAAACAAGAGGGTTCGAATAGTTTAAAATATTAATATGGGCGATTCTACGAAAATTGATTATGTAAATTGAGAAAAAAATAACACTGAGGTCTAAATAAATTTAGCAGATCTATTTGATTCTAAAAGCCGATGGAACAGCTGAGCCATCGGTGATTCAAGGAACGCGCTGAATTTAATCGATACGTTCTGATAGATTTTATGTCATTGCTGAACTAAGTGCAAAGTTTAGGAAGCTGCCGTTCGTCAGAACACAGCAACAATATGTAATATTTTATATATACAGACATATCCTTTAATAATGATGACAGGCATTAGCGGATCCTGAATTTAATTTTAGGGGGAACTTCAGCCCGAAAACTTTTTTTTTTTATAAAAATAACGATAATCACTTTGGAAAAAAGAAAGAAACTAACTATCTATATGAAATGGTGTTTAAGTGATTCCTAACATCCTTTTTAATGTAATTACACGAACAATAATACTTTAAGAGATAATTTTTGTCTATAAAACATGGTTATATTTTACCATTTTTTTGGGGGGAGGGAGGAGAGGGTTTCAGCCCCAAAACCCCCCTTCTCCGTAGATCCGCCCGTGATGACAGGTTGGTAAGCGCTTTCAGGGAGTACCCAGATGAATGATAAATTAATAAAGCCCAAGCACTACTTTCCTTTTTTTTCAGTATTACATTTAAAAAAAAAATTAAATAGCCTGGGACAAACAATTTTTCCTAGAATCATGCAAATATGTATATTTGTGCCTAAAAGGCTGCTACTATTAGCAATATTATCATCCTTTATCTTCTGATGTTTTAATTAATGAATATTTTATTCAATGCAGCTTATTATCGTTATGTGCAATAATGATTGATTGATACTACGACTATTGAATTTTTCTTTTCAATGTATCCGATTTCCAGTTTGCTTTTGTCATGAAAGTAAATTATGAGTATTTAACCTTGAAGAAAAGGATCGGATGAAGGTGCCGTAGACCTTAGGGTTCTGCTCCCACGAAGACAAAAACATCCTTCGCCCGTGTCCTGCCGCTATTGGCCCCTTTGTTGTCCCGAGTCCCATTCAGGCAGCCTTCTAGCTAACTAGTCATCTTATTAAAGACGGAATGCTCTTCTCGTTTGTCTCTGCAGGGGAACTAATCTCTTATCCTGTTTTAATTCCGTCCTACCTGTGGGAGGACAATGCTACAGGAAACGTTAATGAGTTGGGGCTAAACGAAACCTGCGAGGGTTCCAATGAGTGCATTGTACCTGCCTCATTCAGTATCACAAATGGATGAAGAAGAATGCACATGGAATGACTCTAGTCCAATAGAATTCATAACTGAAGTGTGAGAAATCAATCCATTTTTTCTCTAATGGTCGTTATCATTTTTGAATTGAAGTAAGAAGGGGAGGATTTTTATTATGTTAAACACAACCGTTCAAATTGATGACTCTATGTTGAATACCCCATCCATATTTTCGTATCATATAATCAATAGCTTTACGGAATTAAAGGGTTTAACTATTTGTTTCTAATTCAAAAGGTATTTGGATCCGTTAATGCCTAACTCATGTGACATTTTTACTGATTTTGAGTTAAGAGTGCTTAAATAATCATAAACGCATCTTTTAAGAGGAAAACAAAAATTTCATAATCCATTATTTGAAAAAATCAAATGAAAAAAAAATATTAATCCCTTTCTATCTCAAAATATCAAGTTTAATCCCTAATATATGTAGGATCCAAAAACCAATAAAACTTTGCCTACCATCCACCATGTTTTTTTGTATTAAATCTAGGACCAGAACCAAATTTTTTTCCAGAAGAAGCAAGCATAACTTCTACAACAAAGGTCAAAAGGTTTATAACAATATTTTAGGAAATATATTTCAAAATAAATATCAAGACATCATTACACAAAATCATTTTATTGAATGTAACGTGGCCAAAACAATCATAAAGCATAACCAAACGTTTTTATTCTAAGTATATAAATGAATTTCGTTTCGAATTTTCAGCCCTTTAAATCGATGGACAGCGATTAATATGCTCAGTATAGAAACGACCTGATGGGTTCCATGGAAGGTTAACATCCCTGAAAGGTTATTAAACTGATAAATAATATAGAAATGTATAAACAAATATTTATCTACCTAATTGGGGAATTTCCAAACTGATATATCATAAAAAAGCTAAATTCCTTAACTCAGCGCTGAACTTATCTAAGGCGTGGTTTTACCCAGTTTAGAAAGGCATAAATGTCAGCGCTAAGTTTAAGTAAAACTTGGCCATACAGAAATAAATGAAACAATATAAATATGTGAAGTAAACTGAGATGTAACAATCGATGAGTTTTGAAACTTGCCCAAATATTTATGTGATTGTAGGAAATAATATTTGCAAGATTTCGGGAAAATATAATCTCGGAAATCGACTAAATTTTATTAAATCTGAATTATTTTTAATTTTAAAATTGTTAATGTCCCTTCCTATGATATTATTTTTCATTTTTCATGGAATTAATAACGAATAATTCACTTGAAGAGAAAATCATTATATGCTACATTGTTGGAGATTTAATAATGCCGCGGAGCCTTATTCATTTATTAAAAAAGAATTAAATTTATTAAATTATTAAAGAAGATAATAGTCCACGTTATGTATTATTGTAGGCTGTAAAGCATTAAATTAGGTAATCAAATGAAACGCCGTCTATAAACAGCAAATCTTTCTGCGAAAGATCCAAAGTAGGAAATTGGCAACTTCCTCAGACCCAAAATATAGGTATTTCGTTTTTTCGTCTAGGATATTATTAACCAATGTTTTCCAGACAAATATCTAGATATTACGAGGGCCTCACTCATTATTTCTCCATTAAATTGATGATGTAAACAAATGAAAGGCTTAACGGACACAAGGGTTCGATGCCAATGCTTTCATTAAATTAATAAAAATTAGATATTTAGTGAAGCGCAAAATATACATAACAATTCGTGATTATAATCTGTTGGATGAAACACCGAATGAAGATACAAGAATAGAGCTGTTTTTTGTGCGAAATTTCCAAATAAATGTGTTTTAGAGCAAAATCGTAAAAAAGATCTATTTTAGTGCAAAATAGCAAAATAGATAAAAAAAGACCTTATAGCATTTTGTTTTTTAAATCTACTACTTAAGATCAGCACAGATCTGTTGAGAACTATGTTTTCCCTTGGACAGAAAATAAAGAAGAATCCTAAAAATTCTGGCCCTAATCATTATATTCCTTGATAAGAAAAAGAAGTTGTTTTTGGAAATAAACTTATTTTCACATCACTTTTGTATATATGTATTTAGGTTTTTTTTAAAATTAAATAATTGCACCATGGGATTTATTGGATGTTTGTACTTAAAAATCTATACTTATCTCGATTACCGAAAAAATCAAGAAGGGTTCATTTTGCAGATAAGCACTCATACTGTAGAAACAACATTAGTATAAAATTTTCAAAATCTAAGTTTATTTATTTATCTATTCTGTCTTATTATCTATAAGTGTCTATTTATTTTATTCTATCAATCCTTTTATTTAGTTTTTTTTTATTCTTATTTTTTGTACCAACCATCCAAACAGTATAAAAATAGTGTTATTTAGTTGATCGGGCGTTGATGACCTGAATGATTTGCACCTGGACATCGAAACAAACAACCAAAATCTAATGATAATTATATTGCTGAAACATGGCATAAATAATGTAAAATTTATCGTTTTCTCCATTTTTTTTTTTTTTTAGTTTTTCTTCTAATAATTCTCTATAATATTTTTTGTTTTTCTCAAAACCATGAAAATATCAAATGTGCCGTTTCTGCAATAAACGATTAAATTATTTATTGTCTCATTCATGATTGAATACCTATAATGACGGAAACGATAAAAATATTTCAAAAATTTTGATGGTGCTGTAGTTGGTTCAAGAATTAGTTTCAGCTCTCAATTAAGAAACCCTTACGAAGGTAAATTCTCTAAAAATTATTATTCTAGAATAAAACTCATTTATGAATGCTTTACTTCGAGACTAAACCAGACCAGGTAGTTTTTTTTGTCTTGAAATAATTAAATCCTAAATAAGCCTAAATACTCCGGTTTTCTTTTTATTACTTCACATGTCACTTTGTTAGAATGTATCCCTTTATTCAGACAATTGAGACATGTGATGTTATAAAATGCATTTTAATCGAACATGAATATGAGAATATCAATTACAACGCGATTCCTGTATCCATGCCTTTCAAAAATAAAATGTGTTTTGTCCTTGAAAATCTTAAAAAAAAAAAACTTTTATTTTGCCTATACCAATTTCAAAGATACATTTCGAATTGTGCAATTGAAGGATAGCCTGATCGAAATACGAATATATTCGGAATGAAGTTTATGGTGTTATACATAAATAACGAGGAACGTTTCAGCTAAATGGTAAATTACATTTGGACGTTGAAATGCACTTGTTGGTAATAGAATATGTAGATACAGACCGAATATATAACCTGAATTGAAAATTTGACAATATGTTCCAGTAGACTGTCAGTCATATATATTATTTAGGATTAATGTCCTACAGTCCGGTTAGGACATATTCATTACATTATTACATACAACAGGGATTCGTATCTAATACTTGTAATTCGTTGAAACGAAATCTTGTAGGATACAAATTTTAACGTAATTTGAAACAATAATTTTAGTAATTATTCTGGATGTCGGATGGCCGAATGACCAACGACTTTGGCATAAGATAAAAAAAAAAGTAATTGCTCTGTCTAATCTTCAAGTTCTCTTATTATTAAATTAAAAAGAACAAGTTTCATAAATGCTTTATTGTCGATCGTTTTCATTTTCTCCTGTTTGGCTATTGAAATATTCCTTTAGTATGGTACCAAGAGGCAGGGATAGCAGATACCTGAAGAATATTACCGCAAACACCAGCATGCTCATTGACGGTGGTTTCACTTTTGCAGACTCCACTTTCGACCTATGTTCAAGGAAGAGGTCCGGTATCGTCTTGGCGATGTGAAATGCGGATGCGATATCGACGAGGTTCTCAACGTGGACCTCAGAGGAACAAAATATACTTGGTTAAAGTTAGGACATTTAATTAATAGTAATTTTTATATTGAGGCAACAGATTATTTAAAAACGATTACGTAAAACACCGCTATGTGGATTTGGCTAGTCCTGATCATGAGCTTACATAATGTCGTTTCTACTACTCAAAGTAAAATTTCACGCAGACTGTCCTAATCAATTGTCAATTCTTTTAATAAAGAAGTGGAATTTTCCATGAAACACGACAATATGGTAGTCAAAAACAGATTTTTATCTTTTGTTACTGACTACGAATTGAAGACTCATTGCCAAAATAAGTTCATTTTTTTTTAGTTTGTTGGAAAATATAACAAGTTATAGTTATTTATGTATGCGCTGTAATTCACATAACTTCCAATAAATTAAATAATATTTTAAAGTTAAGCAGGGTATGTATGTAATAATTTTATATTTTTACGTAGTTTTTTTTTTTGTACTAGGAGTTTCAGATGAAGGAATCAGTATTTTGGGAATTGTGTAAATTTTAAAGATCATACCATATTTACTGAAACTGACTTAAGAAAATTTATTTAAAAAATTTAATTTAATGGATTCATTAAAATATAACGTGGAATACAATGGATTCCAGTGCAATGTGGGCTTGCGAGGAATGAAATTACGGATCTCTTCCGAGGAACGTGCTAGCTAAATAAGAAGCATTGTCCTCCCATGTTAGCATCAACCCTAGGTTTGAGGAGTCTCCCGAACCAGAGTCTCCAAATTGATTTAAAGCTAACAAGAAGAGAACATGCTGTCATTTTTCGCCTCAGGACAGGACATAACCGCCTAAAATCGAATCTCTTAAAAAATTCAAGATAGGACCTCGTCCCCCATGTGAATGTGGCCAAAACGAACAAACCACAGAGCAGGTTTTGCAGAACTGCCAGCATATTGAGGTTATACGGAGGCAGATATGGACCTGACCAACAGATCTTGGGATCAAGCTGTTCGGGAGTCTGGAGGACCTAAGGAGGACCACTAATTTTATTTGATTACTTTCTGACATAGCCATCTATCTGGAGGGAAGAACGAAGAAGAAGAATAAAATATATTTTATCATTGAAAATCATTTAATGTTTTTTCTAACATTCCTATATTAACTTGGTAGATCCATTTCGAATTATACAATTGAAAGTGAGCCTATTCGAAATTAAAATATATTTAGAATGAAGTATGTGGTGTTGTTAACTTTATTTTAAATTTACATTTTCCATAGCATGTACGTATGATTAATTATCAATTCATACCTTGCATATGTCCGATATCCAGTTCAGTGCTTGCGTTCTTGAACTGTAGATAGCTTCCGGACCTGTAGATATCGGGATCTGCTGGGCAGAGGCACAGGGAAGCGTAGCTACGCCTAGCCACATCGGTGTAAGGCTGAAGCTTGTTTCTGGTCTAGTAGAGCAACTTAATCAATCGAACAACAAAAATATTCATATTTTTTGAGAATTCCTTATAAACTATCACATGGAACCGAGGATCATTTAAAATATCACTGATCCTAAGGCTCTTTACTGAACATATGGTTAACAATTTTATCTCAATTTTAAATTAAATGATTTGAAAAAAAACTTTACGAAAGGCAGAGAAAAATACTTGAGTTTAAACTATTTCGAATCAAGCAGGAATATCGAAGAACAGCTCGAATCTCATTAAATAATCATCGATGTCTGTTACTAATCTTGATTGTACTTACAAAAAGCCTTCATCTATATGAAGATCTCTCCAACAGTTGCTGATCTGTAAGAGGTTCTGCAAGGTGTAGTTCATCTCCCTCGAGATGTTCTGGAAGTATCGAGCCTTGGCCTTGTAGCCGTACTCTCTGAGCCAGGGCACCATTAGCCTAGCCGAGGCCTCCGTTACTGCTGTGAAGAACACAGAGGTCATCACTACGCTGCTGTCCACATCCCATAACATCTCCCTCGGGCCTGGCGTACTCCTAGGCTTATAGTTCATCAGTCGTTCGATGTCTTCTAGGTAGTGTTCTGGGCGGACTGAGGTCAACCATTCTTCAACTACGATGAAGAAGTAATGGAATGGCGTCTGTAATAATGTGAGCCGTTGTCTTATCCATGAAGTCAGATCAGAATCCATGCGACCAATGTGCTTTGCTAAGAAATCTGTGTCGTTGGTCCTTTCCAAATAGGAGGACATCATGAATGGGAGCATGGGAGGGGAGGTCCTGCCCTTGTAGTACACCCTGTTGTATGGTGGGCAGTAGCCGAGCTTATCGATTATACTGAAAATGTTCTCCATCTGGTTCCTCGCTGATTCCACCATATCGCAAGCCATGAGCCCCTGGAAGATCCAAAAACTTTCCCAGTAGCCCATCTCATGTTTCTTTTCTGAAGAGACGAAGAATGGTTTAGGAACGAGTATAAAGGAATAGTGTTCAGGATGCTCCATTACATCCTTCGTCAACTTTCTGCCATTTTTCATCCAGGCTCGATTGAATTTCTTCAGTGTTTGGAAAAATTCACTATCTTGGATGTTACCCAATATTTTCGGAGACTTCTTGAAATCAGGTGGTATCCAATGTTCTAATCCACTGATGTTTTCGAAGTTCTTCTTTATGAATTTTTTAAGTATACTCTTCCTTTTATGTGTTGGGACACTGGAGATTCTTAATTCCCGGTATTCAAATAGAATTTCTCTTTGAGGCTTCAACAATTTTAGGCGTAAGAATTCCTCAGGATCATCAAAAACCTTTCTCATTTGAACTTCATGCAACAAGGAGCTATCACGGAATATATATTCATAGTTTTCACCTTTAGCCTCGGTACATAAAAACAAAAGAATAATAAAATACAATAAAAACATTTTATGACTTTCGATTTTGAATAAAACTTAAAATTTTGAAACTTTAAATTTGGTTTTCCAATTCCAACATTATTGGTACTTTTTATGAGTGTAAATAATGACTTTTTCAATAACGTTCATATGTTTTTCGCCATGGATACGAAAAATATTACTTATATTTTGGTTTTAAACAACTATATCTAAATTATATTAGTTCATTAGTCCTAAGTGCAGGAATGTCCTTCGTGTCAGGATGCGTTATAGAGAAACACTTCCTGAGAGAGCTTTTATCATTTATGCGGCCGTTTATTGCTTTTCGATAATACTTTTTATTTAATAGAGTAACATATATAATAACATAAAACAGATAAATGACATGTCAGGGTTAAATTTAGACTTTAGACTTTTAGACTTTATTTCAAATGAAACGAAAGACTTTTTGAACAAGCGACTGAAAATACTGTACTCACTTTTCAAATCAAAATTGAAAATCAGACAAAAACTTAAAACATACACTTACTTACTCAAACACGTATGGATATACGCCTCACAAATTTACGGTTCTACAAAGAAGACACTTTAAGACGAGTTTTTATTTAACTTATAGATTAAGATATTTGAAGTGGAAACGTCTTTAGTCGCGTCTTGTACTTTTCTGTGGAGAGCGAATTAGATTGATCCGTCAGATTTCGTTCGCCATTAACGCTCTTGTAAAGTCGGCTAGAGTCGACTAATCAAAATATTTTTTCCATATGGATTAAAATATTTCAGAAACTATAAATCGGGCCTGCATGCTGTAATTAATCTCGCCTTGTTGTTTTCACTTATATTGTGTGGTCTAAAGCATATACCTTAGTTTTGTTTTTTTAGATCTTTTTCTCTTAACTGAATCCTGTGTGTTTTGAAAATACTTAATTTTGCAAGAATACTTCTGACAAATTAATAAAATCATTTTTCCAAAAATGCGACATATTATCATAAAAGATGTAGACGAAGATTCTGCTTATTCTTTAAAATAAATTATTCATCCCTCAAGTGTACATTATTTGTAGTGTAATTATTTAAAAATCATTCGATTAATTAATTATTTTACTATAGTAACAGTTACTTGAAAATTGGCTTAAGATCTATATAATAGGATAAACCAACATTAGACTTGCAAACCCCCAAACTTGAGGTATACCAAACCCGCTTTACCGCCCACTAGGGCAGGGGTTTTCACTCGGCGCAGAGGTCTTCCGTGTCCACTGTCACCTCTTTCGGTTTTCCGTATTATTACTTATATATTATTATTATTATTCCGTAAGCATTTTAAACTTAAATAACAAAATAAGTTATAATTTAATTTATGTTTAACAGTGCTAACCTGATTGGGTAAAACTAACTTTGAATGAAAATATTTATATAATTTTATTATTAATTTATTACGTATATTTTGAACGTAATAAACAAGTCGTAATATAATATTCTTATATTTTCTTCTATCTCTCTAAAATAAATAACATTAAAAGTGAACTTAAAATATTAAAATACAATTAGAAGTATGAGAATCGTTGGATTCGGTTTTGTAACTTCTAGACGTCTATTTTAAAAAATACTTTTTTTGACTCCCAGGACGCATCAGCAAGATCCCTCGTACATAGGATTAATATTTTTCGACCTAGTATTAACATAAAAAGTTTCATTGAAATCAGTGGCTCCACGTCCGTAACCTCCGCCTGTAACTAAATTGAACACACTGACTCAACATATCCGGTCATTGCGGTAAACATAACAGCACTTTTATAGAAACAATTATAGTCTTAACATGAATTATAATTTTAGCGATATAAATTTTTTTTCTATTTATTTATTTTAAATATTTACAACTGTATACAAAAAAATACATCTAGTAAATTTGCACATTGTTATAAAGACATGGAACACATGTTGAGAAACTACCCATTGGTAGCACTCTAATAATATGTCTATATTAGAAGATCACGTGGCCATCTTCTTTTCAGACGCCTCGGAGGGTTATCAGAAATCGAATAGGAAGCAAGGTTAGAGACAAGAGGGTTGGGATGGTTATGAAGTTTATTATGGAAGGACAGATATCTGGATTGGGCCAAATCTGATACATAAGGAACATTAAGGTCATTATGGATAATTTTATTTGTAACAAAGTAAGGAGCATTGAGGATTTTACGAAGGATTTTGGATTGCAAGGACTGTATGCGAGAGGAATTTGAAGGCTTGGTGGAGCCCCATAGCTCAACCCCGTAAGTCCAAATAGGCCTTATTATAGTCATGTAAATCAGTCTTTTATAATTGATTGGAAGGTTAGAGCGTTTGTCTAGTAAGTGTTGAAGTAGTCGGAAACGTCGAGCGGTTTCTTGTCGTTTCAGTCTGGTATGAGGATTCCAAGTTAGACGTTTGTCCAGATGGAGTCCTAGGTAACGGATTTGTTCAACAGGAATAAGTGAGGTGTTGTTAAAGGATACTGAAGGACAGGAAGTCATTGGTTTACGACGAAGGGTGAAGGTAATTTGATGGGATTTATTGGAATTTATTTTAATTCTCCAGTTCTGACACCATTCTTCAAGGTTTGTGATGTGGGATTGAAGGGTTTGGGATGCAATAGATGGGTCGTTATTGACTGATAGGATACATGTGTCATCAGCATATGTGGTGATGACAGTGTTGGGATGGGTTGGGATGTCAGCTGTACCGATATAAATAAAATGTAAATGAAAAAGAATACTAGCCATTTGTTAGAAGGACGATTGTTATTTTAAAAGTTAGACGAATGTAGTATCCATAATATATAATTTTCGTAAACATTTAAAGTAGTTTGATGTTTTATTGTCTAAATATATTTTTACTAGTTTGTACTTTGAAACCACGCTTGAAGCGGAAACAGGGGTAATAACAAAAAGATGTTTAAGAAAAAAGAATTGGTGACCTTCGATTATAAATCCTTTAAATAATAAATAAATAACTAACATTATTCATGATTATTATTATGCATTCAGATAGTTGTACGATGCATTTTATTTTATATTTTCAATATTATTATATATGTAACATTAAAATGGAAGATTGATTTGTTCAGTACTTGTTTTATGATGTCTTTATTTATCTATGCAGGGCAAAGTCAGTGAAAACAGTAATATAAAAAAAAATAATAATTTTTTATTATTAGGATAGTCTTCATATATGTGCTTTACTGTGAGGGCTGTTTGAGTTTGATTTACACTAAATTCACTACTTACTAAAACAGGTATAATAAATAAAAATTCATCTATACCTATAATTCATATCTTTCATGCTTTAGCTTAATCTGTCCAGCTCTGCTAACTATCTTGCTAAAGTTCTATAACCAATCCGGAATTAATATAGATACCGAATGGGATACCCTAATTTAACTTTATAGTATGTATTCTGATATGTGAGATATGTGAGCCGGGGAGATTAATCGAGGCAAATTCTGTAAACTGCTCCAGCAAGCTGCTCCAGCCAAGGTTCTTTATCCTTCACCATGGTTTAATCAGAGCAAGGTCATTCAATAAACTAGTATATCAAAAAGAAACGACAGACAATTTCAAAAAGTATATATGTATATAATTACGTTGTAAATCTTTATCAGACTAAAAAGAACAATTTACTACAAACAAAAATCCTGAATTTGTACAAAAAATAATGTTAAATTATTACAATTTACTAGATAAAAGATACAGAACTATTGTAGGAAGTAAAAAATGACAAATGACATGAGTATGAACAGAGGAAATTAAAAATTAAATGACGCGGTAAGTTGAAAAGCAAACAGTAATGAATACTATGGAAATAAATTTTAAACAGATAAAGTATTTTAATATAAATTTAAAAATATTGTAAAATGGTATATATTATACCTTTATTAGTATAATAAAGATATAATGTATACATTTATTATAAACATAATAATATATATAACTATCAAACTAAAAGAGATTGGATAAACTATACATATTGACGAAGTTAAGAAATGTAGTATAACTGTAAATTATGATGTTAATGCTACATAAAGATAAGTAATAATATCCAATATGATGAAAAAAAACTAGATTAAAAAAATTAAAATTAAATTAAAATTTACTAATAAATTAAATAAGTTGTAATTAAACTATTAAATTAAACATTATTTTCTATATTTTGATTATATTTTATTATATTATATTTGGAATATTATATTATATTATATTTCCATATATAATATATATTTATATTATATATTATATTTTTTTTTTACCTTTTCAAAGAGTTATATTTTAAAGCTGAAGACTATGCGTATCAAACAATAATTTTTTTCGGGCTATTTCAGCCGAACTTGGTGAACTTTTCATAAAACTTTCATTTTTAAATTGAACTCCTTGTCTTCCTGTACCACTCCCGTTTCTGAATTTTCTCCGACCTTTGAATTATAAATGGAAATCAGAAAAAAAAGTAAGAGATAGGGCTTAAAAAATGGGATAAAAATAACCTGATGGAGAGGTAGAAAAAGAAATTTCTAGAAGAGACAGAAGGGGGTTTGTTTTATAGCTATACTTCCAATGGAATATAAATTTCCTTTATTTATTAATTAAAATAAATAAATTATAGATCAAATTAATTTTATTACCAAATATGATTAAAAGCGTCTCGTTAATATTTAAGCAGCATAATAAAGATACAAACGCGATAAAATTAATTGGGTTAGAAAATTCACATCACGTTTAGAATTCATAATTAACGCTAGTTGAGGGATTAAAAATACGCTTTTTTTCTCTCCGTATTACATAAATTCAATTTAACAAAAAATCATTGCATGAAACACTTGAGCTTAATTTGTATTATTATTATTTGCATAGCTATAATAGGACCTCCTATGTTCAATTACTAACCTAGATAGTTTCAATAGGTATCACTTTTATTGTATTATATCATGTTATTTCTATAATTAACTGTTATTATATCATATAAGTGATTAGATTTTAATTGTTTACAATGTTTTTTAAAATGTGAAAAACTAGACCAATTTGTAGACCTTATTTAAACTCACCCGTGTTTTTAAAATAGCTCAAACTCATTTAAATTTATTTTTATTTAATATATTTTGTTTTTTAAAATGAATATCGTGTACCCATTTACTTGCCACTTGAATCGTAAGATAATTTGATCACCAAATCGAAAAAAAAAAAGGT